AAGATTATGTGACTCACAATAAAGCTATTCTGAACAAACTCACTTTGCCAGGCACTTTGTGATAATGCCTGAATGTCATGGTTTGCAGTGTGAGTCATGCCTGGTGGCAGTGTCTGGCCATACCCGTACGATGTGCCGCATCCAGTGGGTGGGCAGGGCTGGCTGAAATCCCACCAACCCACCTATTTAAAGCAAGTCTGTAGTCAGGAACATGCCTTTCCTTGCAGTTTCTCTCCCTTTTTCACATCCAAGCTCTCTTTTTGTCTCTTGGGGTGGAATGTTCTACATTTGGTGCAGTGACTTAAGCCCCTAGGTGTGGACAGCAGCCCAGCAGGCTAAGAACAGCAAAGCTTGTTTGGGGGCCATAGAGCTGGACTACATCCTGACCTGGTTTTTCTTCCATGAAGCAAAGGGCTAGAAAAGGACACAAGCAACTTGAGACCAGAGGCACCTCTCTGCTTTGAGGTTTGCTAAGTCCCCAAGTTGCCCATGCTGGGATCAAACTTGTGATCCTCCTGCCTCAGCCTCCCAGAGTGCTTTCTTTAAAAAAAAGTTGTATTGGAATACAGGAATGCTTTTTCATTTACATCACGGCCAGCCCACAAGGTCTAACATTTTTACTATCAGCCCTTTACAGAGAAAGCTGGCCAACCCCACCCTGCTCTGTATCTTGACCCTAGTCATGGTTATAGGAGAGTATGTAAGGGTGTGTATCACACACACACACACACACACACACATTTTAACTGAGCTGTACAAGTTAAAAACTTTATTTTTCATACTTAATAAATTGATCTTGCATGCTTTAATTTCAGAACAAAATAAAGAATAAGACAATACACAATGTCCAACTCAAGAAATTTAAATGTTTTATGCTTTGTAATGTTTCCTGTACTGGATATTTTACTTTATATTTTTGTTGGTGCTGGGAAATGGACCCAGCCCTAAGGACAGTCATCTTAAATCTATTTTCTCTAAGGCCAGTGAGCAAACTCATTTGGTTTTCACTTCATTGTCCCAGCACAGGGAGAAACCCTGGGGGCAGGCTCCTGTTCCTGTGCTGATCCCTCCCTGTCCTCGGGATGAGGTGACAGGCTCAGGTCTACTCCATTCTGCTGTGCTGTCACCATCCTCCCTCCCTGTGTTTCCTGTTTGCTTCTCACCCTTCCTTTTTGCCCTGTCCACAGGCTTCTTTCTAATCCTCTACTAGGCTGTGGTGCTGTCCTATGAAGTCCCACCTACTGCATTTCCACCTGGGAAGACTGGGGCTTCCACATTATAGTTACCACATTATAGTTACCTAAACCACAGCTGAGTGTCAAAGCATCAAAAACAAACAAACAAACAAAAATCTCTACTGCTCTGGGTTCTGGCTTTCTCTTAGGTTTTGCCTGTTAGCTCTTCAGTGCTTTTAAGGTTAAAAAAAAAAAATTCCAGTATAACCACTTTTCACAGTTAAGAAGTCAGAGCAAACCTTTTGCAGTAAAATCACTCCTTACACTAAATCACTGCAAGCCTCTCCCTGTAATGTTTAGCACAGGAAGAGCCTAATTATAAACACTGCATTAATTTCTGTTACACATCCTCCCAGCTAAGATTCACTTTGATTTTATCTATCTCAGTATCTATCTCTTGATCTTCAGTTTAAATCTAAACTACATTATACATAATAAATTATATACTTAAACTTGGGAGCAGTATTTAGCATATAATAAAATTTTTAATAGAACTAGTCTATAGTTAGCCAAAACCAGGAAAGCAGTCACTGAAGGAACCAGAAGGGCCATCGCCTGGTACTCAGCACCTGTGTGCCGGGGTGCAGGATGCTCTAGACTAGAGCTACCCTGAGTACTACTCTCAGGACTGTCATCGTGAAAGTTTCACTTGTGGGAAAACTTGCTGCCAAAGAACTCAGTGCTGGCCAGGCATGGTGGCACATGAGGATCACAGGTTCAAGCCCAACCTAGGCAACTTAGCAACTTGGAGAGGCGAGAGAGGAGAGAGGAAGGAAGGAAGGAAGGAAGGAAGGAGAAAAGAGGGAAAGAAAGGAAAGGGAAGGGAGGGAGGAAGGGAAGGGATGGAGAGAGGGAGGGAGGGAGGGAAGGGCGAGTGAGCTAGATGTAGCTCAGTGTAAAAACTCTTGATCTAATCTATAGCAGGACCTTAAAAGAAAAAACCCTAGTGCCAGGAACTTAAAGAGAGCAGTAGAGAAATCCTTGTCACCACACGAAGGCCAGGGCACAGGCTGGACACTTAACTGCGCATCACAACTAGATGCGATCCAACCACACAGAGGGCTGCGCTCAAGACAAGTCACCCCAGTAAAAAACCCCTGGCTCCCTTAGAAAAGCGTCATCTCATTAGCTCTACCTACTACAGCAGGAGAAAAGTGGTGTTACTGATGTAGGAATTAATCATACTGCTGTAGAAACTTATTATATATAAAACCTATCAGCACCACCCAAGCATCTCTTATTCGGACCCGAGGACACTCACTGTCTGCCTAGCTGTTAGGTGACAGGCTCAGGAACAGGTATATGTGTGTAAGGCAGACCCTAGATTCTAAACACAGAGAATTAAGGCTCAGAGGGAAAGCCCTCTGCTTGAAAGGAGGCAAGGGAAGCCTGAAACGAAACTGCAGAGGCCAGCAAGCTAGAGACCAGGCTTCCGACTCTTGGCCACTGTCCCTGGAACTCAAATTTTTTTCCTTACACAGAGATGACCATGGGGCTGGTGCCATCTCTGAATACATATGAGATTTTTTGTTTTTTTTAAGACAGGCTCTCACTATGTAGCCCAGGCTGGCCCTGAACTTGTGGCTAGCCTGCCTCAGCCTACCGAGTGCTAGGATTACAGGCATGCACCACTGTGCCTGGCCATAGATTTTTAAAGCACTGAGCAGGAAATTATCCAGGTGATGTACATGCCAAAATGTGCCTCAATTACAAAACTGAACCTGCAGTAACAAAAATAACTAAAATAACAAGTAGAGGGCTGGGGATTTAGCTGTGGTTCCAACTGCCTGCCTTGCAAGCGCAAGGTCCAGAATTCGATCCCCAGTACCCAAAATAAATGAACAACAAGTAGAAGAATATTACCAAAAAATTTTAAAAAGACTGACCTCATTCCTGACATCTCTAAACTTTTATACGACTGGATGTAGGTGGGTAGAATAACCTTCCAGGTCCAGGGGGATCTACTGAAAGAAAACCCCACTCCATTTTAGGTTGTTTCTGAAGGCTTCTAAGGAACTGACAAGATATAACTAGTACACTACTTTGGCACAGAATGCTGTGACTTTATTAAATGCTCCTGCCAGTCTTTCTTCAATTATTACTGTTGTTTAGACTCAGTCAATTGGGATTAATAAGTCATGGCAAACTATCTTTAAAATGAGAGGACTTAACACTGGAAATGATTAAGATGAGAGGCACAGGAACTGCAAAGAATCACTGTATTACCAGGTAAAGATCGTTCCTGCCTGAGTACAGGCTGTTTCTGTGATGGCTGTGATGTACATGGAACTGAACCGCTGAGTGCATGGATGGATGCTAGCGTGAGCCGTCCTCACTGTGGTGAGTGGGGTCACAGGTAAGTGAGGGTGTCTAGGATGATCTGACCAGCGATGGCTGGAGCCATCAGTCCGCACTCACCTGCCTTACTCTAGACATGGGTGGTAGCACAGGTCAGACCTGGAAGTCCCCAAAGGGTCAGGTGTTAAAGGCTTGCACCAATCACTGCATGGTGCTATTCAGAGGTGGGGCCCAGTAGGGAGTTCTAAGCCACTGGGAGGGCCCCTCAAGAGGACTATGGGATGCTTCCCAGCTGCCACAAGGTGAACAGTTTTGCTGCATACCCTGCTATGAAGTGCTGCCACATCACGTCATGGATCCAAAGGCAACAGGGCCAAGTGACCAGGAAGGAAACTGCAAAACTGTGAGCTCAAAGGAAACTTTATTCTCAAACTGTCTTCACTATTACGTTACAGGTGCAAATGGCTGATCATCACAGATGGATACATGTAGAAATATTTATAGAGGTATGAATATAGTGCTTCATACACGCGCACACACACACACACACACACACACACACACACACACACACAGAATTTCCTTGCTGTCAGTCAAGAAAGCCTAGAAGCAGTGACACCCCAGTAGCAATGAGCACCTCAAGAAGCCAGATCTTGGTTCTTAATACTCTTCTCCAATATCACCAAGCCAGTCCTCTTGCGTAAGTAGCTGATTACAGGTCTTGGGGAAGAAATACATAGAATGAACCTGTTGTCCCCTCCAATGTCAGAAACTTAGGGTGTGTTCCAAAGAGCTTCCAATGGCCAACAATGAAGCAATTTGAGGGTGGAAAAAGAAAGCACTAGGAATAAGTTTCCATAAGTCCACACACAGACTGCTGGATAGATTCATCAATGGTGGAGAATGGACAAATCTCCTGGGCAACTATGTAGACAAGCCCGGGGTTCAAAGCAGTCAAAGCTGATGACCTAAATCTTTTCCAAGCGATTTAACTGAAGGCTTCAGCCTCCAAATGATGTGACATTAAGACACCAGCTTGGAAGCTGGGCATGGCTCAGGGGCCACTGCTTGCCTGGTGTGCACAAGGGCCTGGGTGCAGCCCCTGGCACCAGTGGGAAAAAGACACCTGTTCAGAAAATAAGGAGGTTTTCTCTGTTGGTTCTGTGTCGCCCTAACACAAGCAGCTGAGCCTCTATTTTGTCCCATTCTGTCAGGAAGGCTCACTATATAAAAAGTTTCAGGAACTGCTCTCCTCCTCCCAGGCATACTGGTCACACACCCGTCCCACAACAGTCAACTAGCCATCCGCCCTACATGTCCCAACACCAGACTACCCTGACCCCCAGTCACCCAGGCGGAGAGGTGAACAGCAAGAACACTTTCCCACACAGTGCACATGAATGAAAGCAGACTGAGTAACCAGATGTCTTCCCATTTTACCTTTTTAAGAATGACAGACCTACTAAGATCATTTTACTCCGATTTATTTAAATAAGGATAAAGCTACTTAAAAGACTTTTTACATACAAAAATGTACATTACAAGGTCAAACTTTTCTGTACTGAATTACAAAACTTGCACAGGCATTTAATAAAAGAGCACACTTAAAAACATTTGACCATCTGGTAGCCTCTGCAAAGCACTGAAGCCCCACTGTAGTAAACAGAAAGCTCTTACATACATATGTGACTTGATCTACTGGCAGTTTACTTAATGTAAGTTTTAAAAGTCATTGCTATTGAATGAGTCTCCAGTTGTAGAATCATCTCTCAAAACTTAAGTCAACCAAAATATAATTTCAAATAAAAACTCCAATTCTGAAGATTTTAATACTTGAAAACGTATCATAGCCTCACAGTTGTAGCGAGCCACCTTCCCAAAGTACCCATTGTGGCTGTCCCTTCCAGACGCCTTGCACTGTGACAGCCATCAGCAGGGTCTCGAGACACAGCGATCAAAGCAGCCCCAGACCCCACAGGTCAGCCCAGCTCAGCCCCTTGGTGAGTGCACAGGCCAAGCAATATGCCTTGCAAACCGAAGCCTAAGCTCAGGATCTGCAGAGAGGGGAGGAGGGTGGATGGAAAGAAGGAAACCTTATGGGGAGGAGGGACAGGGAGAAGGAGAACAAGCAGCACAGGAAGAAAGCAAGGCTCACTGCACCTTACAGCCACCTATGGACCTGAATGCCAGCTGCCTGCTGACCTGCTAAGGAAAGCTGAGTTACAGGAGTGGAGTCAAGAGCACTCCAGTCACGTTTTTCTGAACTTCGAAGCAAAGCAAATGTCATTTCCAGACCTAAGACCCAAAGTCCCTGTGACAGGTTCCTGGAGGCGGCCGTCTCAGGCACATGGCGGGGGGGAGGGCGGCATGAAAGGCAGATGGCTCAGTGCTCTGCCTGCCAAGCTTCAGACAGACCAGTAAGATGCTGCACTATGAGCACTGATTCTGAGTATTTGTAATATAAACTTCAATTTGAAGCAACAGTGTTACACAGTTCAGCTGTTATTATCAACCTACTCTGTAAGTTAAATATACAAATTAAAAATTAATTTCACCAAGTAACTAAAAATAAGTTCCCACTGACTTAAAATCGTCAAATGGCTAACTCTCTCTTAACTAAGAGAGAAATACAGGTGGAAGCAGAGGGGCCAACTGAATAGAAAATAGAATTTGTCATTCTACCCTAAAATCTGTACTTTCTAAGTTTTCCCCGTAACACATACCCACAAGATCAGAATGCCATCAACAATGTCACACATATCAGCCTTGCAAGTAACAATGTATTTAAAAATTTACCATAACACCAAAAGTCAGTTCTGTCTTATGTACACATTTAGTTCAAAATAAAGGCAGAATGATCAAAACTACGGTCTTAGTATAGTACTTACCTACAAGGCTGAATTTTTTGTAAGGCTAATAATACATATCTGAACAAAAATGGTTATTTTAACAAATCAAGAGGGTAAGAGTCCTCTGTAACATACTGAAAAAGGTAAACCCCAGTTCAAGATCAATCATACATGGAAAAAAAGGATAAAGCAGTGGTGATGAACCTATGGCATGTGTGCGCAATGGGCTGTTTGTTATCATTGAAAGCTCTAAAAGGTTTGCCATTACTGGTATAAAGCATCCTTTGTTCTTGGCTAGAAGTATAAAGCAGAAGAGCAGTCACCAGAACCTACAACTGTAAGGTAAACCCTATCTCGTCACTGACTGCCATTATATAGTGATAATTCCACTCACACAAAAATAAAAACCTCTGCAGATGGTTCTGCAGGGTCCACCCAGCCCAGGCTTCGCTCCACCCACCTACTCAGAGGGCAGGGTTCCCTCTACACCCTTCCTCCCGGGCTCTTCTACCCTCTCCCTTCCCTCTCCACTTCAAACAGGGTACCTGGCCTGAAAAGTTTCAATCAATTTCATTTTTAAAGATGAAGCTCGTAGCAGGGAGTCACAGCTGAACTGAGTGACTGCCCAGCCTGCTTGTGAAGAGCAAGCCGGGTGCTGGCAGAGACCAGCACATCCCAGGGGCCAGGGCTCCTGCACCTCACCCTGTTAGGGTCAAGGGAAGAAGCAGCAGCAAGCACGGGCTTCCCTCTGCTTTCCACAGGAAGGGGCGCCCCAGGAAGTGAAAAACAGCACTGTGCTCTCTGTATTGGGAATCTTTTCAGCAGGACAACCAACACTCTCCTTGGTGAGCCCTTGAGGACAAGTGTGGAAAGATTTGCTAAAATACTGACATGAGCTATTATGTGGTTCTGTTTGAAAGAAATAAAAACAGTGAACCAGGAAAATACTGGGAGTTTTTTTAAAAAACAAAACACAAAATCTTAACTGTCCCCAAAATGGTTTATGCCAGACTTGCGCTCATGATTTGACCAGGACCAATATAAATATCATATATGGAGCTATTCTTTTAAAAACAAATTCTTTCCCAATCAAGAGAAGAAATTTAAAAAGAAAGGAAAGGAAGGAGAGGATAAATGACACTTTTTAACCATTTTAAACTTCTTAAGAAAATCCAACAATAATCAGTTATCTCTGTAAATACTGTCAGTATATGTGAACTTATCTGAAATCTACAGTTACAGTTGTATTTACATTTCTGGAAACTTCCCTTCAGGGCCATGTAACATGCTGTATCTTCCTCTTCGTTTCTGGTGGCTTCAGGTTATTCTAAAAGATATGAACAGAAACCAGTTTATACCTGCAGAAAGGCCCTGGGCCAGCCAAAATGAGCATTTACACCATGGACACTCATAGCACCCGTAGAGGACACTGCTGCCACCTGGTGGGCTTTTTCAGGTCACAATAAGAAATCACCTCATCTGGCTTGCAGTTTTCAAATGCTTGCACGTTAGAATAACCAGAGTCCTTCCCAGCTGGGCCTGATCCAGAACCAAGAAGCATGGAGTCCAGAGGAGGAGGAGGAGGCTCCAGCTTCTTTCTGTTCTGGATTTTTGCCTCCCCTGGTGGTGCTAACAGGCAGGGCCGAGAACCCTGGACTCTCCGGCCCAGCTTTCTCCTGGCCTCGGCCATCTCCTCCCCAATGTCACACTCAACCTCAGTGGTACAGAAACGTTAACAGTATGGGAAGATGTTTATCTGTCTCACACCTCTGAGTGAGTCCAATTCCTGGAGAGGAGAAATGCTCTTTAGGAGCCCAGGGGAGAAACAAAACATCTCCTGGGAGCTCTCTCCATACTGCAGTATTTGCAATGTGGCATTTTCTTCCAACTCTCACCCCATGGCTTCCTCTCTGGCCCCCAAATATGGCTGAGATAACTCTAGAAGCAGCTTGGCGTCCTAAGTGTTTGCCTGGGACCAGACAGAGCCGGACTAAAACTTTGGTGTGGGCACTAACTTTGCAGCCCCAGACAAGCTCATTAGATTCTCTGAGCTTATTTCCTGGTCTCTGAAGGGAATAATAACAACAGTGCCACTTCCTAGGGTTGCTGAAAGGATTCAAAGAACTAAACACAAGGAATATAAACGCAAAGGCTACTTGGGCAGCTTCCTTTTTCCAGGGTCTCCTATTTCACAATGTCTGCCCTAGCTTGACGTAAACTAGAAGATGATACAGACAAAGGGTACTACAGGAATAATGGCTACAAACTGGCAGAAGTGTTTAAAAGTACATCAACATTCCCAAGAAGCCTAAGGATCAAAAATACATTTTATATATCTGGGAGTGCAGAATCATCTCACAAATTCTAAATAAATCACATAACTGAACTAAGTAGTGTGCCAGCAGATGAAATCCAAGCATCCAAATGTGTTTACACAGCAGAGCATGCCACAGATCCCCACTCCCTCTGTCCCTCCCATGTCAGGCACACTGCAGGGGGCCTAGGAGGCAAGCAGTAAACCTTAAGACATTCTGGTGTGGTTTTAAGGGAAGTGCAAACAGATTTAACCTCGAGGCACAGGTGCTACTTCACAAATGCATCTGCACTTCACTTTAAAAAAGGAATTTCTCTCTTTAGTTACAAGATAGAAGGAACTACATAAGAAAAATGTAGGGCAAGTGCTGCCACCTGAAGCATTTGAAGTCAAAATAAGTCAAGTGGACTTTAAAAATAATGATCATGGATTTTATAATTCTAGGGTTCAAACAAATGAGCAATGAAATCTAAGAGTCAGACAGACTGGTGGGGTGGTGCATGCTAGTAATCCCAGTACTCTGGGAGGCTGAGGCAGGAGGGTGACAAATTCAAGTCCAGACTGGACAACTTTGTGATTCACTGAGACTCTGTCTTGAAATAAACAAAAGGGCTGAGGGCATAGGTCAGTGCAGAGGCCCTGGGTTCAATCCCCAGCACCAAGAAAACAAGAATTCTCCAGACTGTGCCAGGGTTCCAGAAGTGCAGGCAGCAGCACCGGCCCACTACTCAGCACCACCTGTTAGTACAGAAACCCCAGAAACTCACCAGGGCCTCCGTGTCCTCTTTAGGAGCAGCACGCTTTAACTTCACAGGAGTAGTTCCAACAGGGGACAAGGGTGGTGACTTCACAGTGCCCGGCGGACTTTTCCTATGCATTAAGTCATGGTTCTGTTTAGTGTCATTATTACTGTGTTTCGTTTTATCATTTGTAAGCAACGTTGAAGACAAAATTAGGGGCGAGACACTTGAAGAGGAATTTGGAAATTTTTGAAAGGCGTTACTGGCAGCGCTTGCCTGAGGGGGAGGCTTGAGACGGTCATTGTCTCCATTCTCCGTCCTCTTCACTTTTATGCTTGTACTGGTTGAGCTTCCATCGAATACAATGAGGGATCTTTTCCTTAGCCCATCCACAGTGCTCCCCCTGAAATCAAAGAGATGCATTGTTGGAAATACCATCAGGGAAAGAGACAGGGTTCACTGGAATCCAGAGTTAAAGCCAAGAATAGCCAACAAAACCTATTAAGAAGACTGCTAGCGGTGAGACTCCTGGAAATGAATTTTCCATGTCCATTCCTTTAAAATAAGTAATTTTCTAGTGGGTTTTTTTGGTACTGGGATCGAACTCAGGTCCTTGCGCTTGTGCAGTAGGCTATGAAACCACTGAGCTAAATCCCCGACCCAATTTTCTAGTGTTTTAACTGAAGTGTAAAGTATTTATAAGAAATCTAGTTAGCTCACTTAACGTACGTAAGAGATGCGGATATTCTTCAAACATCAATTAGCCACTCGACCCTAAAGCTCAAACAGGATTTCCAGGTAACAACAATAAAATGTCAGCCTCCTGGCAGGGTTATCCTGGCCACGCAGTCATAAGCAGGTCTTATTTTTAAAGGCAAACCATAAAACTATACCTAGAGGCAGGCTGAAAAATGAGGCAGAACACCCTATTTGAGTTACCCAGAGTCTCCAAAGCTAAGGCATCCTCTTAATTGTAACATTTATGCAATTCTAATTAGGTAAGATTTGGTAAGTCTTCTATGTTTAGCTCCTGAAAATCTAATTTCTATTTTTATCCACTATCCATCTATCTATTTTTGCAATACAGTGGATTAAACCCAGGGCCTCTGTATTGAGCTACATCCCTAGCTCTTTTAATTTTGACCCAGGCTAGGCTTGAACTTGTGATCTTCCTGCCTCAGCATCCCAGAGTTACAGGTAGCCCCACTGATATCCACTTTTAATAGTCAAAGTAAATAAAGCATTCATTTGTTTATTGGTCATTGCTTGTTATACAACAGATTTGTTTAAGAAGAAAGCCTTTTCATTAAGCACGCTGAAAGAACTAGAGCAGCCAGCTCTCGGGAGAACCTTTTAACCTTGCCTCTCCAGCATGTCAGAGACTAGCAACAGTAGCAGCATCTGAGAGCATGGAAGAAATGCAGAATCCAGAGCTCCAGCGGAGCTGCCAGATCAGAATGTAAACATCAACGTTTTAATCAGCCCCCATAGTGACCAGCCAAACTCACCAATTTTTGGTTGCCACTAAGTAGCATTTGGTACAAAGTTGAAAATAAGCTTAACATGGTCTCCGTGGCCACTACAGAAGAGAGGCCAAGAGACTGACAGGCTCATTGCCTACTCAGTCCTGGCCATGTGACCACAGTGGGTCTCAGCAATGCTCTGGGACTCATTCTCTCACATAGACATCCCTAGATCCTCCCAACTCCAGTGCTCTGATTCAAGACTCAAGCAGCAAAGTCTGAAGACAGAGCCAAAGATCCTTTCCCAAGGGATACTGAGGGGCTGTGATGAAGCTTTGCGTCAAAGGAAAGTAAGCAGCACTCACAATTTTGCTTGCTGGGACAATGTGTCTGGACTGCTGATGTAGAAAATACTGCCTGAATAAGAACCCAGACCAAGTGAGTTACAAAGTATGTGAGAGCTGGTGCAGTGGCCTGCAATCCCAGAGCTTGTGGGCTGAGACAGAAAATCACAAGTTCAAACCTTGCCCAGGCAACTGAGTGACACTGTCTCGAAATAAAAGATAAAAAAGCCTGGGGGTGTAGCTCAGTATGAAGGCTCTGGGTCCAATCTCCAGTACCCACCTCCCTAAAAAAGAAAAAAAAAAAGCATATGCAACATAACCCATAGATTTTTGAAAGCTCACACACAGCCTGTCCTTAAATGTAACCATCACGCTAAAACAATGTTCAATCTGAACCTAAATATGTTCCTCATCAATAGAGACTATACATACATTTATTTTCCAAAAGACAATGAGCATACACGTATTCCTCCAATCTTCTCAGATCAGAATGTAAACACCAGGGGTTTAATCATATTCCTTTGGAAAATATTCTCAATCATGAGTTTTTCTTTGAAACCAGGGATTAAAACCACTAACAAGACAGACGTATGCATTCCCCTGCCCCCAACCTTTTACCCATCTTCTCCCACTGGCTCCAATGTATACTCAGGACAGTCTACAAACTGAGGCCCCCAAAAGGAAGAAATAGATCAATAACATCTATCTGTGGTAACACAGACAGAGGCAAAGAGACAACTTCCTTACTCGGAGATCTCAGAACACTCTGTCCTCATTAACTAGCCATGACACCAATCAACTAACATTCAGCCTTCTTTCAAAAAGCAAAGCCATTGGCTTGTGGTTTTATGAACAATTTTCTGAAATTTAAAAATCTTAATCAGTATACCTGAAACTAGCTGACAGGCTCCTCACTTCTGCATTATTCAAAGACCTGAGGGTCTTACTTCAGTCATCTTTTTTCAAAGCTCAACAAATCCTGTTGATTCTACCTCTGAAACACATGCAAACCTCAACCTACCAAATTCACTATCCTAGTTACAGCTGCCACTACATATTGCAGGGATGACCACAAGGCCTCCTAATTGGCTTTGCTGCTTCCACTTGCAATGCTCCCACCTTAAACCCCTTTTCAGGGGCAGCCACAGTGGTCCTGTTAAAGTGCCATTCAATGGTGCCACCACTAGCACTGGCTCAAAACCTTCAAATGGTTTCTCATCTCAGAGCAAAGCCAAAGTTCTTAAAGAGCTGTGCCTGGTCTGACAAGCTCGCTCTCACATCCCAGGTATACCTCTTGCCTCCTACTCCCACCATTCCACCTGACTATTCCTGGTAGTGGTGTGATCACAAAACACAGTGAACATTCAAATAAAAATTTAGATTTATTATAGTACAAGACACACTGTCATTAAAATACCCTCCTTTGCTTAGAAAACACTTATCCCATCCTTCTTGCCACTTTTGGAAATAAGTTCTTTCCTGAGTCTTTTTGTGGCTGGTTCAAAGTTCTGAATCAATTCAAAACATATGGAATAATTTCTGTCAAATAAAAACATTACAGGTATCCTCATCTATCTTATTCAGCAGATTTGGCACCCTGTGACTTCCAGCTTTTACCCAAAGTCAAAGTGACCATGAAAGGTAAATGTTTTGAGTTGATTCAGGCTATCCAGGCAGCCTAACAGCACAACTAAAGACATCAGAGAAAAAGGACTTTCGGAACTATGTAAAAAAGTGGCAAGAATAATGAGGTAAGTGTTAGGGCGGGGGTGTTGAGGGGGATTAATAGTAACATGTCTTTTACAGTAATACATTTTTAAAATTTAAACATTCACTGTAGGGCCAGGGATTTCGCTCAGTGGTTCCAGCGCCTGCCTCAAAAGTGTAAGATCCCGAGTTTGATCCCCAGTACCAAAAAAAAACCAAAAAAAACAAACAACCCATTCACTGTTATTTGTAATCACACCTTATCTGTGATGGCACACTCCTGATCCACACTCATGCACTGTGCTGGGATACTAGTTTGCTATTTCCTACAGGTCTCTTTAAGGCTGTTCCTAGCCACTTTACCAAAAAGCTAATTCTTCTTCCTGGTCTACCTTTCTCTTTAGGCAGATCTTTCTTTCACTATGTAACATCTTTCACTATGTCACATACCATACACTTAACTTTTTAAATGTTTCTCCCAAATAAAAGGTGAGCAGGGAATTTTACCAATTTTATTTACTGCTATAAGCACAGTGCCTCATGTCAATAGCTGAATAATTTTTTAAAAATTAAGTTTAGCTGAGAAAAAACAAAACTATTAGTCATATAAGATAAAATAAAAACTAGAACCTTTAAAAAGTACCTTTTAGGCTCATTTTTTATCTCATGTTGTTCTCTTCTCTTTTCCATCATTTTCCCCCATCTATTCTTTGGCAATTCCCTCTGAGGCAATGGTATTGCATGCTGGACATAAAGATCAGTCAGATTGTCTTTGTTTATTCTTATGTCATTTTCAACAGCTATGTTCTTCTGCAGAAAAGGAAACAAAAGTTAATTTCAAAACAACATTTCATTATAACTACTTACCTAAAATGGTAAAATATTAAATAATAAATTATAAAGCCATTTTTCACAATCATACAAGCACCTAAAACTCCCTAAGTTACTTCAGCTGTGGTATTATAGACAGGTTAAACCCTGCAAATATCAAGTTCAGCCATCTGAAAGACAAGGGTCATATATCATTACTGTCACAAGGACTGCTGCAAACAACTGCTGGGGCAATATTCTAGGGATGAAGACCATTTCTAGTAATATCAACTTAACGTAAAGAATTGAAGGACTGCCTGGGGAAAACACAGAAAACAAAGCAATAATTACCCCATTCTGCCAATAAGCTACCTTGGGTGTTAGTTACGATCAGATCGGTGGGATGGAGGCCCAAGTCTCACCCTATATGCTCTGTGTTATTTCTTATGTTGCTTTAATGCAGAGCCTTTTTGTTTTGTTGCTAGGAACTGAACTCAGGACCTCAGGTGTACTAAGCACATGCTCTTTCCCTCAGCCCCTCAGTGGTTAAGGTTGACTACCAAGATTTCTAACAAGACTGCAGAAGGAACCTGTAGCCCCTACTGAGGTCAGTGACATCACCTCATCAGAACAGCCTGTCTCCACTCAGGTTCTCACTGCTCTTTTCAAGTAGCCTTCAGTTACTGCCCAATCATCCCTATCTAAATAACCTCATTTCCCCTCATTTTTAAAAATGTGTTCTTGACATCATGGAAGACCTACAGGATAAGTGTAGGGATAGTTCCCAAGGAAGTTTGGATTCAGGAAGTAAAAACAAGAGTGAAAAAGATTATAAGCCTTTCAACTTCAATTCAGTTTTTCCACAAGTGCCCTCTGATAAATTTAATCCCTTTTTTAAAAAATTTAAAAGCACATTTTACTTCTTTTCTCTTGTATAGTGGACTAACTGTCCAGTGGTTCTGAAAGTGCAGTCCTTGGATCAGTAGCAAGAACTGGTTAAAAATGTAAATTTTCAGACATCTCAAATTTATTAAGAACTTGAAGATGAGTTCAGCGATCTGTTTTAACAAGTCCATGGCCTGTTCTGAAAGTTTGAGAGTCACAAGAGAAAGGTCATTATTAAAATAATCTATTTAGCAGGACAGCTTGAGGAAATTAGAAAAAAAATACCAGTACCGAGGGGAAAACAACAAAATATGCCTCACAAAACCCTAAGGATCGCTTCTCGGCCTTTTGGCTAAGATCAAGTGTAAAGCCCTAAGGAAAACTTTCAGTAACTCTGTTCACTTTAAACATCACTTTTTCCCTTTTCTCATTTCTAGCCTATTTTAAGAGACCACACCAACTGAAAAGATCAAGCACTCCATAGAGAGCCAGGAACCCTGAATTTTCCACTAATGCATCATGTATAGATAATATGTATGGCCTTAAATGAGTCACTGCATCTCTTTGGGACTCAGTTTCAACATCTTGGGTCGAAGTGAGTGTGGATCACACTCCTCAGATGCTTCCCATCCCCGACGGTCACGATGTCTACCTCCACGCCTCTTCGTCCAACCCTCTTCCTGAGTCCCTGTCTATCCCAGCTCTTGCTGACACACAGACCGCGGGAGTCACCTGCGACCCCCTCTCCGGGACAGTAAGGGCCCTGATACCTAAGTGGTATTTCACAGGAATTCCTGAGACTCTAGGAACGTCTCTTCTCCGGACAAGACCAGAGGAAAGACCGACTGGTCGTGGGCCGAGTGGCACAAGACCGGCAAGAGTTAGGACGGCGGCAGGATGCCCGTCGTCACCGAGGGCCACTCGGGGCGAGTCTCCCCGGACAGCCCTCCCTCCTTCCCTCGGTGCCCGACCTGCTCCAGAGTGAGGAGAAGAAACTCCTGGGACAGCAGCTCCGGGTGCAGCAGCAGCTCCGAGTCAGTGCAGCTGCGACCGCCCACGTCCCCAGCCATCGTCGTCGCCAGGAGACCCCGGCCGGCTACCCACAAGGCTCCGCGAAGGTAGCCTCCCGGAAGTGACGTACAGAGCGGCTGCGCCTGTGTCGTCACTGTGTTGCGCCCCGTCAGTCTTGCCACGCCTTCCATGGGCGGCGCCCGCTGGCCAATGACAAAGCAAAAGAAAGGGCCGAGCAACGGAGAAACGAATGGCACGTCAAGCATCGCGAGAAGAAGGCAGAGCGAAGTTCACCTGGCGGACACCATTGGACGCGCCTCCTGTGACGTCCAGTGACAGAGGCCACAGGGATTCTCGGGTCTGCAACCCGCAGAGCGCTCTCACACACTTGACCCCAGTTGGGGCGCTGGCCAAATTGCGTGTCAGCTTACTTTTCTCTTTTAACTTCATCTTTGTGTCTCTTGATCGTGTGTAACACAAGTCCAATTAAGGCCAGAGACTATTTCATTAACTCCCTAAAAGCCAGCACTTCTGCTTTCATAAGCACTGAGTACCAGGTGCTTGAAGTGACTGAACCAGCTCCAATATAAAAATATAACCGGCTGAGATGCGCCAGGAGCGACAGCCAGTCGTCTGTTAGACTTTGCTATTTGGCGTGTGTTAGCTCATGCCTCACCGCCTTACGAGTTACATATTGCTAGAATGCTGCTCATAGGAGGAAACTGAGGCATAGGAAGGATAATTTGCTCAAAATCACAAAATGAGAAAATGGCAAGACTAAGATTCGAGTAAACTTTCTCGACACAATAATTGCAATAACAGTTTTGTCACTGGACAGGGTCTGAGGAGAGTCCAAAACAGATACAAACCCAACCCACTCTACCTGTAGAAGGTTGCAGGTTCGCCAACACCTATCTCAGAAAAAGAATTTTCAGGACTGGTCAGAAAGAGGCAGTAAATGGGGATTTACTAGGCAGAGGTTAAATGGCGAACACCCAAAGAAACATACAGGCCCTCGAGAGAGTGGCCCTTATTTCCTGGAACTGGGAACATTTATGTTTCTCTTGTGGAGGGGGACGACCCTGGGAATAGGTGACCCACCCCCCAGAGGGTACAGTTCTATATTACAGGTATGAGTCTAGTGTTTTTTTGTTTTTTAGATGGATAATTTAAGCATTCTTTGAATTCTCTCAACCTGTTCCATTATTTTATGATGAGATTCCTGTTCTTTCCTTTCTCAGTTAAGCCAATTGACTGTCAGTGTTCCTGAGAAATTTTGAATGTGATGGGTTTGGAAGGAAAGGAGCCTAAATTTAACCAAGGAAATGCAGATTTGGATCACCTTGGGTGACTTTAATGGGTCACAGAAGTTGCAGTCTTAACAGTACAAGTTTTTAGTTATGATTTTCTTGTCTCTAGTCTACCTTTTAGTTCTTCTGTCCAACCTCAATTTTTAGTTTAAACAAGTTGTAGGTGTAGCTATGGTCCAATTTCTAGTAATTACTAGACTAAAAATTCCTAATGCCTCTCTTTGATCATTCAAGGGACAGGTATATATACTTGGGGCCTTTGCAGATTTAAAAGATACACTTGCAGATATGTTCTGAATATTTACTTTCTGCATCTCCTTTGACATATCATGTTATTGGAAATTACTGCATTGTCTACAAAAATGTGAAGAATGCTGAGGATGCCAAAAAATAAACTTTGATAGAGTAATGGAAAATAAGTGAGACACTAAATCAGAGATACCAGGTAAAACTGAGAGATGCTTCTTATGCGGTACTTTAGGTGTAGAGACTGAATTTCATAGCTAGGAGGGAACTTAAAAGTTACTCAGTCCTTAAAAATAAAAACAAAGCTAATCAGTCCAGTTCTTTTGTTTTAGGTTGAAGGAGGCTGATCTGAAAGAGATTAAATGATTTGCCCCAAATTGATCACATCTTAAAACTGAGCTGAATGTCCAAACTTGAAGTGTGTTAGCTTCATGGTATTAACATCATGACATTCCATATCCCAAAATCTGATTTGATATTTTTGTACAATAATGAAATTAGCATAACTGGAGTTAATGTGTCCATTTCCTTCATTGGGAAGCCCATTCTTTTAGTGGCAAAAGCTAAGGGGGGGCAGATGGAAGCGAACTGGTATTTGTGCTGTGTAAGAGTGAGAAGTAGGCCACTTTAAAGCCTACCGTTTCTCCTGTTTCTAGGCCCTCTCCTATGACCAAAACCCCTCTAGAAACCAAGTACTAGTTTGTAGGCACTCACTGTGTCAAGTGTGTTATATACTCTCTACTCTTTCATCATTCATTCTTCATAGAAAGTACTAGTATAGCATTTTTCTGAGGACTAAGGCTGAGTGATTAATCCACCTTAGCTGTAAGATGAAATTATAATGCTGGCTCACCGTGTGGTAAGGATGGTAGCTAAAATATGTCAAATGCCTCTCCTCTTGCTTTTTCCTAGAAATGTGTTGAGTCTTGGTTGTCATTAAAGGGTAAAAGTGGTAGAATAGTGGTATAGGAGGCAAACTCATAGTCTTAAAGTGTGGTTAGAAGTCTTGTACTCTTTTTCCCTGGGTTTTTCTGGACCAGTCATATAACCTGAGGCCTCAAACTCTTCATCTGCAAAAATGTTTTGTGGCAGGTAAGAGCTGTCCTTTTTTCTTCCCCCTACAAGTTCTTCCTTGCTTAAAGCCACTGATACTATTCTAGGTACCTCTGAAGCAAAAATCTTGGGATAGAGGGAATTGTTATCTGAAGTTAAAACCAAAAAAATCAAGATTTAAAGAGGATAACTCTTGCCTCTAAAGGAAGGGGGAATGGTAATGCTCTGCTTCCTGGGCAGAGTGAACCTGCTGAGAGTTTGCAGTTTTCTGACTGTGCTTTGCTCCGAGCTCCTGGCTCAGGAAGTTGGTGAGGATGCTGTGGCACTTTCATTTTAAAGAGTTCTGGGTGTCACTTCAGGTCCGTCCAGGCAGGAGGGCTGCCTCAGAGATTTCAGCTACATCTCATGGCCAGGAAGCCCACGCATCTTCAGCCCTTAGGCTGGAAACCAAAGAACTGAAATGCAAACACCAGATTGGACAAAGAATGTCTCTAGATTCCTGTGGACCCATGGTCCCAGGACTATTGAAGCTCCAATCTTTTCAGCCTTGGCACAGCCCTAAGGGAAGGGAGGGCCTCCTGTTGACAGGATTATTGTCACTATAGAGGTATGGGGGCTTCAAACGGAAAGAAGGTTCAGGTTAAAAAAAAAGAATTCTATTTGTTGCATGTTTGAGTTTATTAAAGTTTATTCCTGCCATGGTACTATCTGCCAGGGTTATATAGTAATCAGAAGGCGCTCTACATTGTAAGCTAAATATGATGAGAATTTCCACTTCACTCAAAGATAGAGAGGTTTTACTCATTAATATTGTTTGTTTGGTGGCTATAGTTGATAAAAACAGAGCTAAGGGAAACTAACCAACATTTCGATTCCTGGCATCACCTCTTGAGATAGCAAGTTCCTCAGGGGCAGGTTCCCTGCATTCTACTGGAGTTTCCTATCTGCTTCTCTAGTAGAGGTGTACTTAGTAGGTGCTCAGTACATGTTTATGGAATGAATACTGAGGCCTTTATGTGCTAGGCCACTCATTGGAAGTGTTTTCTAAGATACTGTGTCACAAATAATTATCATTGTCAAAAATATACCTGAGTTGAAATTAAAGAGTTCCAAATGAAGAGCACAGCAACTTCTTTGCTTCATTTAGGCTCCTACAATGACACCCAGTCAACCTCCTGTGTGCTTAAGAGTGCTTTACATTAGAATAATATTCTCAGCAAGAAGAGGCTGTTTGGGGTTAGGGTTGTAGCTTAGGGGCAGAGTGTGGCTGGCCTTATGTTTGGTGCTGTGTTCAAAACTAAAATGGGAAAAGTGCAAATGTGGATTCTAGGCCCAGCCAGCCCGGGGTTAGCTGGTGACAAGTCATACACTCTCTGGGGACTGGGTCATGAACCTGGGCTGGCTTTGCTGGGATGCCTCCCACCTCTTTGACTTCTCCTGAGATGAAGGTCTGGTCTACTTTCCTCTCTGCTCCTGGGAATCCTGCCCTCAGTGGGAGCCCTAGCGTGGGAGGCCTAGCCAGTAACACTGGTTCCACTGAGTCACCACGAAGTACTGTTCACACTAAAGTAGAGGGAGGACAGGCCACAGAAAGATGAATTCTTTTTTTTTTTTTGGTACCGGGGATAGAACTCGGGTCCTTGCACTTGCGCAGCAGGCGGCGATACCACTGAGCTAAATCCCCAAAGATGAATTCTTGATGCTTCATTATCTTTGTTTGTTTTCCCTTTTAAATTGAATTGGGCTGAGTAGAATCCTTGTCTTCCTCCAGGCTTGGGGTAGCATCTGTTTGGGAAATAACATCTTTGTATTATAAGGTGATGCGCAGGAGCTGGGAGAAAGTTGAAAGCACAGGTCCCTAGTATGTTCCAAAGTCAGGGAAGTCTTGGGGAAACTGGGCTCTTGGCATGCACAGTCATAATGGGCAATTCTGGAGGGAGCTTTCTAACACTTTAATCATGAAAATCAGACTGTGATTGTACATTGAAGGGGGCTCCCAGAGCCATAGGATTCTTCTTTCGGCCTGACCCAAAGCAGTAGCGGCCCGCGGACTTTCTAAACCGAGTGGGTCAAACTCTCGCAGAACACCCCTGCCCCAGTGTCCGCCTCGGTGCACGAAGTCCCCCTCGGCGCGGGAGTGGGGCTCCCCAGGCTCCCCGCCTGCCGGATCTCCTGGGCCGGCGCTCCCCGCTGCCGCGGAGGAGGAGGAGCTCGGGGCGCCGGGCGCGCGCGCTCTCGGGCCTTGGGGGCCTCCCCGACCCTGGCCGGCTTCGACCGCCCTGCCCGGGACCGGGGGCGGCGCGGGGACTGGAGAGGGCCCGCCCTCACGGGGCCGGGCCGGCACGTGACGGGAAGCGGCGGCGGGAGCCGGGCCGAGCCGAGCCGGAGCGGGAGCCAGGCCGAACCGGGTCAGGCCGCGGCGGGCCGGTGAGGGTACGGGGCGCATGGCAGGTGCGGGCCGGGGCGGGCGCGCTCGGCAGGGTCTGGGCCGGAGCCGGAGGGGACTGGCGCCCAAGCCCAGCCTGCCCGGCCTCCGTCCTCGCCCAGCCGTGGTGCGAGCGGTCGCTGAGCTTCCCGAACGCCCGGGGTTGGGGTGTTGAGGTTCGGGGTGCACTCAGGGCCAGATTGTCCCCTGGGCTGCAGGATGGGCAGGGGCGAGGAGGGAACAGTGAGGGGCCTGGCCAGGCTGTCCCCAGCCCCAGGTCGGCGAGAGCCGAGCCGTGTCGGAGGGGCAGGTGGAGGTCGGTGCGCTCACCGCCCGTGGTGCACCGCGATGCCTTCAGGGACTCTGGTGCCCAGGTGTCTGCACCTGCCGCTCTTGCTTGTTAGGTTATCCCCAGGACGCGCTCGGTGCTGCCTGGATTCTGGAAATGAGGTTCACCAAGTGCTTCCTTGTGCACAGAGGCTACATTGGGTGCTGCGGGCCGGGCGGGGGTTGATCCCGAGAAAGTGCTTGGGACCGCCCCGCACCCCGAAGGCAAAGGCTGGCAGCGGTGGGCAAGACTGCTGCCCAGTGACGAGCAGGAAGGTGTGCGGGGAGCTCCCTGGTGCAGGAGAAGTAGCTCTCCGGGAGCATCAGGAGTGCCCGTGCCTCCCTCGTGGTGTGGACCCGCCTCTCTCAGTCTGCAGACCTGCGCAGGCCATGGTCACAGATTCCGCCAGCTGCTTCCCTTTCTTTTCCTTCCATTTCTGCCAGCCCAGCAGCCCTAGCGGTCATCCCTGTGGCCTCTCCGGTGTGTAGCAAAAGGCAGTGGGCTCTAAAAGAGCACTGGTCATCGCTGGCCTTTTCCAGGCTCTGCTTAACCTGTGGAATGGGAGCACTGCTCCATGGTCTTGATGCCTGCAGGGCTTGGGTTCAAATCCCACTTGTGACCTTTGGGCACTTGGCTTGAGGTTCTGAGTTTCCTCCATCAGGGCTCAGATTACAGAAGGTGTATGGACCCTATGCAGATCTGGCACTTAGCAGGTGCACAATAAATTATTGTTATAACTGTGGATGAGGGTGTGGGGCCCTGTGTTCCTTATTACTACCTGTGGTGACTGCCTTCTTTGGAGGTAGACCTCTGGGTTCTTGCTGCACATCAAGGCCTGTGTTTTCATCTCTGCTGGGTGAGAAGCGTGGAACACTGGCCTCCTTCCCACTCCCCTTTCTCCTGTCACCCTTCAAGTGGCCTTCTGCGGTCCTGGAGTGGGGGTGGAGCCCTTTACCACTTCCCAGTCCCCAGAATGGGTTCAGCTGTGGTCTCAGCCCTCCAGAGACAGATTTCTGAGGGGCCTCCTCTTCATCTAGCAACTAAAAGATGAGAGGCTTTAAAACGCAAGGAGCTCGCTAGAAGAATGCTCTATTTTCTAGGCCTGATTTCCAACTGACATTACTGTTAGGAAAATAAAGAACTTGTTATAGGGCCGGGGATTTAGCTCAGTGGTTTTGCTGCCTGCTGCGCAAGCGCAAGGACCCAAGTTTGATCCCTGGGACCAAAAAAAAAAAAAAAAAAGAAATTGTTATAGCTTATTCCTTCATGCTAATATTAAAAAATTGTGATCCTTGAAGAAAACTCAAGGAAACTTTATTTAATGGGTGAAGCACCAGGGTCTTGGTCCAAATCCAGCCCTCATTAGAAGTACATTATATTAGTCGCTCATGGCAGCCAGCTGTTTGGGTTCTGCCGAGTAATTTGGCTTGTAATTCAGGACTAGTCTCCTCAGTGGCAAACCTGACCCGTTTTTCTGTATTAAAAAATGCATAACTACTAAGTGAGTGTAGAAGTAACAACTCAATTTGGGGCTAATCCCAAATGAGATTGAGTGCTTCCTGTGAGATATATTGGGAAGTCTTCCCAAGGATGTGAGATCAAGGTCTTTTCTTTATTGTCAAATGGCTGCTGTTGAGTAGATCAGATTTGAGAGAGTATGTGTGTGAGCAGGGACCCTGCCTGGCATCCCACCGATGTAGGATCACTCTTTGTGGCTGTCTGGAAGTTCAATGTAGAGGAAAATGTTAGGAAGTAGATGCCTTAGAAACCCCTCTTCCCACTTTACTCCTCTTCCACCACTCCACTTCTCCCCAGATCCTTTCTTCAGTTGTTGTGGTTTTTGCAAAATCATTTCCTTTCTAAAACTTATTTGTAAGCTGCAGATCAATACTCATGTTGTTTTTGTGGTCACTTACAGATGTGAAAAGAGCAGCAAAAAATTGGAGTTGCCTGGCATGTACCTTCCTGGTGGTTATGTCCCCAAAGGTCCATGTGCTAAAGCTCTGGTTGCCAGCTTGTGGCTACTGGGAGATGCTGGCACCTTGAGATAGTGGGACTTTGAGGGAGAAAGTTGGGTTGCTGGAGGCACACCATTTCCCCTCTTTGATTCCCTGCCACCATAAGGTGGTAACAGAGCCATCCAACAAACATCGACTAAAACCTCTGAAACTGTGAGCCAAAATAAACCCCTCCTCCCTGTCAGTTGATTATCTCAGGTATTTTGTCAGAGTAGCAAGTTAACTAACCCAAGTTGTAACTGCTGATGTTACCCTATACATGCATGTGTTGACACACACGCACAGTGTGCATATGTGTAAGCACATGTGTGTGTCAGTGTGGTATTGTGTAGTGTACATATGCAGGTGTCTATAGGCACGTGTGTGTGTGTGCATGCAGTACTCCCTCTGTACCCATAGGCACTGGTTCCAGGAACCCCTCAGATACCCAGATCTTTGGACACTCAAGTCTCTTACACACAGTGGCATAGCATTTGTATAGAACTTACATATGTCCTCCCATGTGCTTTAAATCATCCCTAGATTATTTCTAGTACCTGATACAATGGAAATGGTAGGCAAATAGTTGTTAGATTGTGTGGTTTAGGGAATAATAACAAGAAAAAAGTGTACATGTTTAGTACAGATACAATTTTCTCCCAACATTTTGGATTTGTGGCTGGCTAAGTCCACAGATGTGGGGCTGATGAGTAAGAATGGCAATCTGCATAGGTTTGCATATGTTTAAATAGCTTTGATTAGTATTGCACAGGAAAAAGGGTATCGACTATGACTACACAGAAGTGAGCATGAGACAGTGTCATCAAGATGACAAGGTAGACATCAGAACTGACCCATCTTGTCTTTCTTACCTGCCTCCCTGCCTTCCTTCTTTTCTTCCTTCCTTGCTTCCTTCCTTCCTTCCTCTTCCAGGTCCTTGAAACAGGTCCATTGCACTGTAACTAGTCTTTAGCCCTTTCTATCATGAGTATAAAAGATAACCTGACATGGTGTTAAAGAACTGCCTTAATTTTCAAAAAGAGGAAAAGTTGTCTTTCGTAGAAGCCAAAAAATATATTACTGGCTCCCAGCAAATTTCAAGAGTGACTCATTGGACAGATGGCTGAGGAAATCTAAAGAACACAGGGGGTCCGATCAGCTAGAGCAGTGGTGGCAAACCTTCAGCACGGGTGCCACAGCAGGTATCCAGAGTCCTGTCTGTTGGCGTGAGAGCCAGATGTACGAGTTGTTTTTTCTAATCTAAAACCTCAGTATTCAGGTTTAATTGCAGTGTTGGCACATTGCAATAAATAAGTGGGTTTGGGGTTACAGTTGGGTACTCAGTCTCTGAAAGGTTCGCCATCACTGAGCTAGAGCAAGGTACTTCATGCAGACATGTGTCCTGTTTTGATAGGAAATGTATAAACACATTGTTCTGTGTCTGAGTGTCACTGAGGGGGTAGAATAATAGAATTCTTCTAGACCCATGCGGAGAAGCAAGGGGTTGCCTACCCCAGGGTCCCTGGGATGAGCTGGGCCACAGCACCACTATCGGCCACCTTTGAGGACCCTGGGGGCTGTCGCTTAGACAGGTTGCTTTGGTCAGGAGGACTGTGTGCTGAGGGAGGATCTGAAATCGTACTTGTCCCCCTCAGCACAGTGGGAACAGTGGCCTTGGAGTCAGAAACAGCCTGTGCTACGTCCCGTGTCCTTACCAGGTAGCTATTTGACCTTAGGTAGACCCCTGCACTCTCCATAGTAATGTCAGCTCTCAGAGTCCTCAGCTCTCAGAGTTGTTGGAAGGAAGAAAGGAATCTTTATCGGGGCTCAGTTTGGCCAAGCCCCGCACTTGAGGGCAGCGACAGTATCTGCAGTTCAGCGGTGCATTTGAGGCTGGGAGCAGCCTTTGCCAGGGAGGCGGTGTGGCACCTGGTTCAGGCCTGCACTGTGAGCTGAGCTGCGGGATCAGAACCCCAGCTCTCCACCCCCTGGCATGGTTACCCAACTCTCCCAGACCCCTATTTGTGTCCTCCTGGCCCAGAGTGCTGGGTGTTGGTGTAGGGAAGCTGTCACACCCAGATCCCTGGGTACAGAGGAGGAGGAGGTGCTTTGCCAGGGTCATAAGGAGTTGGCCAGGCCACAGCCCGAACTCAGGACTCACAGCTTACTATTGGGGCTATGCCACGTGCTGTGTCCATCTTCACCAGGCTCACTGTGGGTGTGGCCCCAGCAGCTCTGAGCCTTGACCATGGCAGAGGCCTCCACCCTCCCAGCCTTTCATCTGCCTGCTCTCCCCCAATGTTCAGTTCTTCCAGGCCCAGCCCTAGCAAGAGTGGTGCCCATACCCCAAGCCCAACCCAGCCCAAGCCCCTCTGTAGAAACATTTTACATGGGCAAAGATCCAAGATCTCCTTTTTTTTTTTTTTTGAGACAGAATCTTGCTAGGTTGCTGAGGCTGGTCTTAAACTCATGGGCTCGAGTGATTCTCCTGCCTCAGCCTCTGGAGTGGCCAGTACCTTGGGCATATGCTACCAGGCCGACTCCAAACTCTGCTCTTTGAAATCCATTTTCAGGAGGAAAAGCTTTTAATGCAACGCTATTATTCATACCTGGAAAGTTAAGCTGGGCTTTGGACAAACTTTACCTCCCAGATGACTTAATAAAAAGATCATAACTGCCCAGGGCTGGGGATTTAGCTCAGTGGTGTCACCACCTACCTCACAAGTGCAAGGTCCTGAGTTCGATCCCTGATACCAAAAGAAAAAAGAGGAAAAAAAAGAGAAAAGATTGTAACTGCCTTGGTAGCCTCAAGGACACTAAGGGAGCATCGCTGTGACATCTGGACATCAGGTTTCATCTCATTCTTTGTAGTTACTCATGCAGAGGTCTTCTTACATCAAAATAATTAATTAAGCAATACACTGGTCATATTCTTTTTATGAAACAGGGCCTCTGACTCTTGGCTCAGGTGATCCTCCTGCCTCAATCTCTGCAGTAGCTGGGACTGAAGGCATGTACCACCATGCTGGGCTTGAGTACATTTTTCTTTAAACTTTTGTGTTGAAGTAATTCTGAGCTTAATAAAGAGTTGAGCAAGAGTACAGAGTTAAGAGTACTCCTTTCCCAGTTTCCCCTTTAACCCTGTGTAATGATGCAAAGTGATGCATTAGCATAGCACAGCACCCTTCCGATCTGCGGGCTGTATTCCTCCCTGACTTTCTCCACTCACAGCCTTTCTCTGCTGTGGGACCCTTCCTGATCCAACTTCTTCACCAGCATTTGGTGCTCATGTGCCCTTGGCCTCTCACCTGCCACACAGTTCCTTGGTCTTTCCTGTTTCTTTCCTGACCGTGGCACTCTTGAGGGGCATCAGGGATTCTCTGGAAAGTCCCCATGTTTTCTCATGATTAGGTGGAGATGGTGTCATCTTGGTAAGAACCCTGGGGGGGGGGTGACGTGGCACAGTTCACACCATGACTTAATGCTGGATGCATGGCGAGTCACCTCCCCCTTGAGCAGCTCGAGCCACTCAGATGCCAGTGGCCCTGCTGTCCCCAGGTCCTGGGAGCCATCTCTGCCCTCTGTCCTTGTGCTTCCCTGTTTCTGCCCCGGCCGGTCCTGGCCCCACTGGTAAACTTAGGAAAGAGTTTTTCCCCATAGGAAGCCAACTGCAGCTTGGTAAAAATGCCCTGAATTCTTGTCACAGAAGAGGTAACAGTGTGTCGATGCTGAGCCTTTAAGTCGAACCAGCCTTCATTTGACTTTAGGGTGTTCCTTAAGGTGGTTAATCTTTCTCCGTCTTGGGATGCTGGCCATTGCAGTTATAACTGATTAGTCAGCTTATTCCCTAAGAAGAGAGAGAACTGGCCCACAAAGCTGCCTGATACACCTTGTTGGTGCAACTTAACGTTGTCCAGTGCTCCTATGCCTGTAGCAAGTGTGTTACTGGGCTGGGGATGTAGCTGGGTGGTGGAGCGTTTGCCCTGCACACACAAGGCCCCAGTACGTGGGCAGGGTGTCAGATGTATTATTCTACAAACTGAAAGTGATCACAAGTCTTCAATCCTTCATAGGAGCTGGAGGAATTGGAAGTGGTCTTGGCTGTATTAGTATGCAACTCCTAGACTCCCATTAATACTTTATTTTGCTAAGTTATCACAAGGATGCTTCTGAAGATTGCTTGCCTTATACGTTTGGTTTTTAGAGCTAATACGTGATAAATTCACTTTGCTCAACGATTCTCTCCAATAACAGGTATTAGTATCTATCACTTCTAACATGGCTTACCCAGATTAATTTGGAGACTCCTTGATAGAGAAACATTTTTTTCCTATAAAAAGGAATACTCATTTGGACATGGTGGTGCATGCTATATAATCCCAACTACTTGGGAGACTGAGGCCAGAGGATCACAAGTTTGAGATTATTTTATAGCCCTCCCCTCCCCTCTTCCTTCTACTGTCCTCTCTGCTGTAGCAGTGCAGGAGTCCCAGCACTGTTTATAAACGTGGATATACATGATATTTATCTTTGATACATAGCATTCCCCTCCCTGTTGTGTCTCAAGCCTCTGTGTATGTGTGGTCTTCACCTGGATGCCCATGTTGTGTTCTTTCGGTTGGGCCTCTTACCAGCCCTGCATTATCTGAGCTACCATAGCTTCATATCTTTTCTGTTGAGTCAGGTCCCTGACAGTCTTTTTCAAAAGGGTTTTTCTTTTTTTAACCCTTCTCTGCTATATTAATTAATTTCTATTTTGCAGTTCTGGGAGTTGAACCCAGGACTTTGCCCATGCTAGCCAAGTGTTCTACCACTGAGCAACATCTCCAATCCCTGCCACATGAAGTTTAGAATCTGCTGGTTGAGTTACATGCATGCTCACAGGTACCTGTTACAATTTTTTTGGAATGATACCCCCTTCTCCAGGCCAGTAAGGGGGAATTTTTTGGCATAAGAACTAATTTGCATGCAGTAAAATGCATGGAACGTAAGTCCACAGGTCAGGGACCTTTGGGGAATCTATATACCTGCATGACTGATACCTCAAGCAAGGTGTCAGTTATTTCTATCACCCCTGAAAGTTCCCTTTGTTCCTTTCAATTTGGTCCCCAGTTCCTCCCAAAGTAAACACTTGTGACATCTGTCAACACGGGTGGGTATTGGCTACTTCTGAACTTTATGTACATGGAAATATACTATATGTACATGGTTTCTTTCACTCAATGTCTTTGAGATTCATCTGTTTGTTCCTTTTTCCTTTTTATTTCTACTGTTTGAAAATGCCACAGTGAAATAGGTACAGATGGGTAAGACTGAGTTGTTTCCTGTTTTGGGGCTATTTTCAATAATCCTGCTGTGCATATCTTGTGCAAGTCATTTTACGGATATACATGTATATGTGAAAGAAGTGGAAGTAGAAAGAATGGGATAGTATGTTTAACTTTATTAAAAACTGCCAAACAGATCTCCATGGTGTTATGCCATTTTACATCCCCACCCACCAAGTCTGGGGTTTCTGGTTGCTCTGTGTCCCCCATCCTTGGGATTCCAGTCTTTCTGTGGCAGCCAGTCTAGCAGGTGTCCAGTGATTCCTCATTGTGGCTTAAAGCAGATTTATCTGATGAGTAATGATGGTGAGCATCTTTTCGTGTTCTTTTGGTTATTGACATACCTTCTTTGGTGAAGTGTCTATTAGAGTCTTTTGCACATTTAGAACTTAAGTTTATCTTCTTCTTATTGGCTTATAGGAGTTTTTATACAGAGGATGTGAAGAGCTCACCAGGGGTATACATTGCAAATTTTTCTCCCAGCCTGGCCCTTGACCTACTGTTCTATCCTTACGTCTTGCTCACATGCTGTCGTTTTATAGAAGTTCCTGAAATCTATTGGCATGGGCACTTCAGTTTTGTTCATTTTCAAGATCCCTAGGTCCTTTGATTTCCATTTGGAATTTAAAACTGATTTGACAGTTTCTGCAGAAAAGCCTGGTGAAGTATAGTTTAGGTCTTCCATAATGTCTAGAAATAAGATTTTATGATTTTCTTCAAACAGATCTTATATGTCTTTGTCAGATAATTCCCTTATACCTTATTTTTTAAATCCTTTTTTAAGATTAAAGTTTCTAATCATTGTATGGGTGTAGAAATGCAGATTACTTTGGTATATTGATTTTTAAGAAATGTTTCTTTCTTTGATTTTGTCTTTTTGAGACAGGATCTCACTATGTAGTTCAGGCTAGCCTTGAACTCACTATATAGCCCAGGCTGGCCTCAAACTTGTGGTGATCCTCCTGCCTCAGCCTCATGAGTGCTGGGATTATAGGCCTGCACTACCACACCTGGCCTAAAAAATATTTCTAAACTCATTGATTCTAATAGATTTTTTTTTGTGGGCTCCCACATAAAAGTGTCATCTCTGAATAATATAGTGTCATCAGTTTTCTGTCTTTGTGTTCTTTGTAACTATTGTGTGTGTGTGTGTGTGTGTGTTTGTGTGTGTGTGTGTGTGTGTGTGTGTGTTTTCTTGGGCTGGCAAAGACCCCTAGTGCAGTGTTGAACAGAACCAGTGTTGGGCAGAAGTGGTTCAGTAGGGTCACCCTAACGAGACCATAGCCCAGGTGCCTTCCTGATAGAGACTTGCTATCTCTGCCTCTGGAGACAGAAGTCTGAGGGCCTGGTGTGCACAGGGCTGGATCCTTCTGAGGCTGAGGGAGACTGTTCCAGGCCCTCTCGTGGCTTCTGGTGGTTTCTGGTATTCCTATGGCTTCTTCTCCCCATGTCTTTATCTGTCCTTCAGCTCCTTTGTGTCTGGTTCCAGATTTCCCCTGTTGTAAAGACCTAATCATACTGGATTAGAGTCACCCTAATGACCACATCTTAACTTGATCATCTACAAGGGCTGATCAAAAAATAGTGTGTGCTTAAATTTTAAAAATTATTACAGTGAAAGATACATGGCCATGAATCCCCCTCAAGATACCCCCTTGCTTCAACACACTTATCCTGTTGTTCTTGCCACTTTCTGAAGCAGTTGTCTAAGTCCTTTTTCCTGAGTGTCTTTATGAGGTGTGATTAAAACCACAGTGAATGCTGCTACTGCTGGGTGCCATCAGACAGAAAGGCAGGCTTGAAAAAACATGACAATGTGTCTTTATTCACCTCATCCACCAGATCTGGAACTATGCCACCTCTGGCTCTTCCCCAAAGTCGAAATGACCATGAAAGGGAGACAGTTTGAATCAATTCAGGACACCAAGGCCGCCATGACAGTAAAAACTCACAAAAGAGGACTCCAGAGCGGCTTCAGAAAGTGACAATAATGGTGGGATATGTGTGTTTGAAGTGAGGGGAGGTTACTGAGGGGATTCATGGCAATGTGTCTTTTACTGTTAAACATTTTTTTAAATGTAAACATTTATTGTGTTTTTCAGTCATACCGTGTAGAAGGACCCTCTATCCACATGAAGTGACATTTCCAGGTACTGGTATTAGGACTTCAACATATTTTGATGGGATTCAATTTAAACCAACACAGATGGTGATCGTAAATATCCTTGTATTGTTCCTTTTTTAAAAAGGGGATAATTCTAATAGAGTTTTGTTTAGTTTTTTTTAAGATAGCAGGATGATATATGCTATACATTTTTGTTGAGTGGATATTGAAATTTTTAATACTTTTCTGCATCTGTTGAAATAGCTATTTTTTCTTGCATTATAGATTTTATTACCTTAAACCAATATCATACCCCACATTACTCATACTTTATATTTTTTTAGTATATATTGGTTGCTCATATTCAGGCATGTTTATTCAGTGATAAGAATGACCCATTATTTTCTTTTCCTATTCAGCATCCTTAGTAGGGTTGAATATCAAAGTTATGCTTTACACTGGCTTCACAAAATAAAATGGCATATGCCCCCCTTCTTCTTTATTCCCAGGAGAATTTATTTTGCAGAGCATGGATTCCATGACTCCCATGTGTCTAGCAGGGCTTGATGGGCAGTGTTCTGGGCTGGTGCTGTCTCTGTGACACAGACCACATAGGGACCTCTCCTGGGCCAGCTCTTCTGGCTGTGCTGTGGGCCAGGAAAAGAAGTCAAGGCCTCTAGAAGCCTGCCGCGCTGCCTGGACAGGAAAGAACAAACAAATTCTAGGGATTTTGGAAACTCAGGGTCATAAACACCTGTGGTGCCCAGCCCGTGTGTGCCAGAGGAATGGACTTGTCACTTTGGAGCTCAGCTTTGGACAAGCTAAGGAGCCCCCGGGACGAGGCCAATGAAGCAAGCTGTGAGCTGTGTCTGCAAGTGCTCACCAGAAGACATGTTTCTGGGTCCACTTGTAGAAAAAGATTACTACTTTTGCCTTCTCATTTGCAAAAATGCTCATTGAGATTCTTACTACCATTAGCGACCATTTCTCTAAAAGGACAATGTCATGTTCTCAATTTGGTAGAAAATAATTACTGGTATTCTTAGTTTGGCCTTTGGCACACATTGCTCCATAATTTGTCTATATTTTTGTAAGGTTCAACTGGAGCACAAATGAGACCACTGAGGCAGGCAAAATCTAAGCAACATGTGATGAGTTTATTGCCACTTGGGTGCAGATGGGGCAAGGGCTAAAAGGCTGTTGGCATAGGAAGGAGGGCGCGAGATATTTATATAGGGGAGTTTAAGTAGGGGAGGGCTTGTCAGCTCAAAGAGAAGGGGGGAAAATTTGGGGGAGTCTTGGGTGAAAGGGTTGAAGCTGGTGAACAGGACAGCGTGAGGGTAGCAGGGCAATGGCAGGTACAGCAAGGTATAGCAGATGCCTTTAGATGCCTTGTGGTTTTTCAGAGAATCGGTCTCCTTGCAGGTGTGAAGGAGCAAGGTGGTAGCTGGCTTCCTGTCATTGCTGTTCTTGCAGGCAATGTGCATCTTTTGGGGTTTTTTCTTTCTGGGTTGGGGAGGTCTTGGGGGGGGGCTGTCAATTTCTAGTCTCATTTCCTTAAGGAGATGAGGAGACCCTAGGGAAATGAGACAATGCCTTGTAACTTTTTGTTTCATTTTGCACACAGAGAGATACTTGTTGCCTAATAGTATTTTCCTTATTGAAATCGTGGTCCATGAAGATACTAACATTTTGCAATTTCTTTGTGTTATGAGGTATGCATTTTGAAGTTTTTTGATAAGAGATGAAAATGTTAATCTTTTAAATTCCAACCATACTTTTAATGTGACGTTCTAACAAAAAGTTTAAATTTGAGATCAGTTGGAGACAGAGAGTGAAGGAATATTTATGTACCTTAGGGAAACTTTTTAAAATTTTAGTTATTAGTACATGTGTGTGGTACCTAATGTTTACATTCCTTGTAGGAAGTTGGTACAAGTACATAACGCATCTTAATTCCTTCTTTTATCCCTTTCTTTTCCCTCCCTCCCCCCTCTACCCATCCCTTGATCCCCTTCATTTTCTTTTTTTATGTGTTTGCAGTACATGTTTACATTCTGTGTGTGCAGGTAGTATGCTTATATACACATCCCAATACCAGTAATTCATCCCTTATCCCTTTCCTTCCTCCCACTCTCTCCATCTCTTGAACTCCTTCTCCTTTGAGAACTATCTATCTCCCTACTTCCCATTATCTATCTTTTATTTTGCTCTTTATTTTTGCTTTGGGTTTCTCATATAAGTAAAACCGTGTGGTACTTGCTTAAGCTTCTGTGTCTAATTTATTTCACTTAACATTATGATCTCAAGGTGCAGCCATTTTCCTACAGTTGACTCAAGTTTTTCTTTATGGCAGAGGAATACTTTATTGATTGTAAATACCATGTTTTCTTTATCCACTCATCTGTTGATGGGTCTTTTCCAAGATTTAGCTGTTGTGAATGCTGCTATAAACATAGGTGTGCATGGAGCACTATAATATGATGTTTTTAACTTTTTCAGGAAGATACCTAGAAGGACAATAGATGGGTTAGATGGAATTTCTAGTTGCAGTTTTTTGCAGAATCACCATACTGATTTCCATAGTGGTTGTGCTAATTTACAGTCCCACTACAATATGGAAGGCTTCCTTTTCCCCCATAGTCTCTCCAGAGACTGGAGACTCTCCAGAGAATAATAGCATTTGCTATTATTTGATTTCTTGATGATAGCCATTCTTTCTGGGCTAAGATGGAATCTCAGTTTTATTTTAATTTGCATTTCTCTAATGATCAGCCATGTTGAGCATTTTTTCATGTATTTATTGGCCAGTTGTGCTTCTTCTGTGAAGTGTCTATTCATTTCACTTGCCTATTTTTTGTTTGGAGGGGTCTAATTTTTTAAATTTTTTATGTATTCTAATTTGGGGAGGGTACTGGGGATCGAACTCAGGACCTTGCACTTGGGAGGCTGGCGGCGGCACCGCTGAGCTAAATCCCCAGCCCCTTATATATTCTTTTTTTTTTTTTTTTTTTCGGTACCAGGAATCAAACTCAGGTTCTTGCTGCTTGCACAGCAGGCGGCGAAACCACTAAGCTAAATCCCCGGCCCTTTATATATTCTAGATATGAGTCTTCTGTCTACTGGCAAAATGTTCTTCCCATTCTTTAGGTTACCTTTTCACTCTGTTGGTTGTTTCTTTTGCTGTGTGCAGAAGCATTTGTTGATCCTTGGAACCACTTCCTGTGCAACTGGGGTTCAGTTCAGAAAGTCCTTGGCAATGCCTGTGACTTCAAGAGTTTTATGAATCTTGTCTTTCAACAGGTTAAGTGTTTCTGGCTTAACAGTTCTTTGATCCATTTTGATTTTAGTCTGGTACATAGTGAGAGGTATGGGTCTAGATTCAGTCTTCTGCATGTTGATAGCCAGTTTTCCCAACACCTTAGGGAAACTTTTAACTTTATTACCATGTTGAAACCTCTAAGTTAGACTCCAGGAAGTTGGACTTCATGATAATGCAGAGTTGTGGATTAAGTCTTATCTTTTCATGATTCATATTGTAACTACCTAAGTATATCATGGAACTGAAACATGGAGAGAATTTTCCTACTGCTTAAATGGATAAACTATGTCTAAGATAAACTAAGATCAGCTTTTACTTACTTCCCTTTAATTTTTGCTTTTTATAAATTACTGTTTAATTACTAAAGCAGGTCCTTTACTTAAATACCTTAACTAGGAAGCTTACTATTAGCAAGACTTGAGTAACTAGTTAGCAGATAATGAAACAATATTGGATTTTTTGTATAGAATTATAGCTTTTAATAAGCCACATGCTTTTCTTACAACTTCTTCTCTCTCCCTCCCTTCTCTTCACCCTGATACTTAGACTAAATGCAGAGTATTTTATATTTGCAGCAAATGTGTCTAGTTTGTCCTGTACGCTAAGTGAAGGCAGAGGCTAGAATTACAGACATTCTGCTTTTACGAAGTTAAATAGGAGGAGTTTGAGTGTAGGTGCCTGAAGCTTGTTTTTCTATTCTTCCTGTAAAGGGAGAGATACACTTCAAATTGTAAATAGCAGAATTGCTTTTTTCCTGCCATTTTCAAAGACAGCCCTGCTTGATCACCCAGGGAAAGAAGTATTTTGTAGTATTACTGCCCCACACCACCCTGGGAGGTTCAGTCTGCTTATGGCACACTGACACCCAGACCACAGCCCCAGGGACTTGCTCTCGAGATAAGAAAGGACAGGAGAGACTCAGATTGCTCAGGCCCAGTGCGCTTCTTTCTGGGGACTCGTTTGGCTCAGGGAGGGCAGCTGGAGTCTCACTCCTGGGTCACCACCATTGACCCAGTTGGCAGGGGATCCAAGACACTGTGGAGTCCTGAACTATGTGAGTTGTCTAAGCTCCTGCTTCCCTGATACAGATGCATGGATTTTGAACATTGCTGGGGTGTTTCAGCCTTGCTGGGGTGCCAGAGGAGGAGGGAATGCAAGCTCACATAGCCGTGGAAGCTCGGGAAAGGTGGGCGAGGATTGTTTCTACCTCTCAGGAGTCTCTGTGTCCTGTGCTCCTTAGACGAGCACATGTGCTGGGGTCCTGGCCACAGGTGTGTCTCCTGGCACTGTGGCAAATGCTCCCTGTGGCAAATGCTCCTCTGTCAGGAGGGGGTGGAACTTTCTCCACAAGCACATGTGTGTGTTCTCTGTGCAGGGCAACCACTGCCTGGTGGGGAAACCTTTTCTTCCCTTTTTCTAACAGCCTTACATATTCTGCAACTGAAATGACACGTGGGGAATAAGTGGCTCTTTACTGCCCAGTTATGTGTCTGCTTGCTCCTGGTCTTTCTGAGAGTCACATCTGCCCTTCTCTTCCACAGGCCACACAGCAGACATGATGAGCATCAAGGCCTTCACACTGGTCTCTGCCGTTGAGCGGGAGCTTCTGATGAATGACCAGGAGCGCGTCAACATCGAGTGTGTGGAGTGCTGTGGCCGGAACCTCTACGTGGGCACCAGTGACTGCTTCATCTACCACTTCCTACTGGAGGAGAAGGTGTTGCCCTCAGGGACCGTAGCCTTTACAGCCACCAAGCAGCTACACAGACACCTGGGATTCAAGAAGCCTGTGAGTGAACTACGGGCAGCCTCGGCCCTCGACAGGCTGCTGGTGCTCTGCGACAGCTGCATCTCCCTGGTCAGCATGCACAGCCTGGAACCCGTGCCCTCGGGTGCACGCATCAAAGGGGCCTCTACCTTCGCGCTCAACGAGAACCCCGTGGGTGGGGACCCATTCTGCGTGGAAGTCTGCATCCTCTCCATCAAGCGCAGGACCATCCAGGTGTTCCTGGTGTACGAGGATCGTGTGCAGATTGTCAAGGAGGTGTCCACGCCGGAGCAGCCCCTGGCTGTGGCTGTGGATGGCCACTTCCTATGCCTGGCCTTGAGCACACAGTACATCATCCTCAACTACAACACAGGCTTCTCACAGGACTTGTTTCCCTACTGCAGTGAGGAGAAGCGGCCAATTGTCAAGAGGATCGGCAGGCAGGAGTTCCTGCTGGCTGGCCCAGGTGGCCTGGGTAAGGACAGGGTTTTAGGGCTGCGTGTGCTCTTGGGACCCCATGCCTGTGGCAGTGGGAGAGGGTGGGCTTGCAGGGGCACAATCATGTGTGGCCTAGCGACAGGGATGCACTCTAAGAAAGGCATTTCAGCCAGGGCTGGTGGTGCATACCTGTAATCACAGCACTCGGGAGGTTGAGGCAGAAGGAAGAAGCACATTGTTAGGAGATTGTGGCATTGTGCAATCATCATAGAGCAAACATCCGTAAACTAAGATGGCCATGACGTCACTGGGTGGCATGATAATCTTTGGGTCACATTCTCACATGTCGTCCATTGCAGACCACACATCATTACACAGTGTAAGTCCAACTGGGGAGGAGGCTCTGCCAACCAATGTGCACTAAAATGTGGTTAAGTAGAACAAAGACAGACTGCTCTTAAAACTAGTTTTATTTTGTGTCAAAATGGAGTCGGTGGGAGATTCTTTTGTTGTTGTTGTTTGTTTTTTATTAGTGTTTATTAGTATTGCGATACATTATAATTACATTCATTTCGAGGAACTGGTGCCTATACATATGACATCTTAATTATATTTACTTCTTTTAACTACAAAAATAAAACTCTGCAGACTCCCTTGTAAGATTTTCCCACAAGGGTAAGTTTGTCCCTTGATTTTATTTATTTATTTCTTTTTTCTTTTTTCTTTTTTGAGACAGGGTCTCCTTATGTAGTTCAGGCTGACCTTGAACTCACAGTGCTCCTCTTGCCTTGGCCTCCCAAGTGCTGGGATTACAGGCATATACCACCCCACCTGACTTGTCCCTTGATTGTTTTTATTCCTCATTCTGAAAAAGGGTGGGGGTAGCTCACTAACCATTTTCACATGTGTCTAGGTCAGTCAGCTTCCCATAGCTATGACAAATTCCTGACATAGTCACCTTACACTGTAGAAAGGTTTGTGTTGGCCACAGTGGCCGAAGTTCCAGTCCTTGGTCAGGTGGGCCGTCTGCCTGGGGTGCTGATGGCAACCAGCCCACCTCATGCTGACCAAGAAGTGAGAGAGAGGAGGAAGGGCCAGGCCTGTGGCCCAAAGACTTCCCTCTAGCGCACTCCAGAGGGTCCTGCCACCTCCCCAGTATCCCCCTCAGAGTCGAGCCTCACAGGCCTTTGGGGGCCACTGAAGATCAGATCACAGTGTCCTTATGTCCTCTTGGCTCTGTACTTTGGTGGCTTGGCCCTCAGAAGGAGCATGGGTTGTTCCCATGCGTCCTCAGCCATCCTCTGGGGCCTCTGGTGACAGCAGGCCAAGGACTGAGTGGTGACCTGTTCTTTCTGTCACAGCAGCTCCTGGTCTGTTTCTTAATGCCCGAGTTTCTGTGTGGACATCTCATTTCAGAGTGATGAGTGGAAAACACTTTTTGGTAATGACAGAAACTCGAGGTGTGAGCCAGCTGGTGAACACTTCTTATATTTTATCCTTGAGAGTACACTTTATTTTTTTGGAGCTCCTCAAAGCACACAGCAACATGCAGAGGTGAGTGCAGAGGCTTCTGTGTCACCGTCTCCTCTGCACAGCCTCCCTTCCTCAGCACCCCTGCGGGTGGTTGTCCCAGGGCGGACCCCGCATGGACACGCGGTGCCCCCTGCTGGTGGTATGCGTACTGTGGGTTGGACAGATGCATGGTGGCAGCCGGCCACCTTTGCCTTGGCACATGGAGTGACGACCCAGCTCCCAGCCCCTGCTTTGCCCTGGTCCCTCCCTCCTCCCCAGTAGTTAGAGTTGTACAGGATGCAGCCTTTCAGTCTGGCTTCTTTTTCCTGGCAGTAATGGAGACTGAACCCAGAACTTTGCCCTCTACGATATCCACTGGCCTGTTTATTTTTTATTTTGAGACAGAGTCTTACTAAGTTGTCAGGCTGGCCCTGAATTTGCAGCCCTCCTGCCTTAGCCTCCTGCCTGGCTGGGACCACTGGCTTGTGCCACCACACCGAGCTTTACATAGGTTTCTTTCCTTAGGAATGTGTGTTCAAGATTCTTCATGTCTTGTTGTGATTTGCTAGCTCAGACCTTTAGTTTTTGAAGAAAAAATTCTTTATCCAAACCACCCTTTTCTTGAAAAAGATATTTTGTGATGAAATTTTTTATTATTTTTCATTTAGAAAGCATACATAAGCATAGTAAAGAGAATGGTGTAGGAACCTGGTGCAGCCATCACCTGGCTCCAGCTCTTGTCAGTCCCTTTATCCCCCATCCACTCCCTCTGCCTGTTGTTCTGAAGCAAGTCCCAGGCATCACAGTCTTTCATTGGTAAATATTCCAGTGTATACTTGTGTTCACACACACACACAGTGACACTATTGTATACCTAAAAAAATTCAAGGAATTCCCTGCTACTATGAATATATCTTGGCGTGGCATATTCCTCCTGTTAGCATACATCATAGCGAGATATACGTAAATACGTATACCTAGCGTATGTTTAAGTATTTGTATTATTTTTGCTTCTTGGTTCATTTGAAGTATTTCCAGCCAAGGCCCATACATTGCAATTGGTTAATAGCTCTGTTAAGGCTTTTTCTTTAGATGTCCTTCTCTCCGTTCTTGATTTTTGCTGAAGAAATTGGATGGTTTCACCTCTGGCTTCCCAGTCTGGATTTGATGATTTCATCCCCTATGTTGTTGAAATCTAGTGCTCTGACTTTTGTTTCCTAAAAATGAGGAATCAAGAGATTCAGGGGTTCTTAATTTGTGTGCTCCAGGTGAAGCAGGACTGCATCAGAGTGGAGGGGTGCTGCTGTGGGGTTCCACAGTGCCCTTTGTCATCCCTGTGATGATAACAGCTGCTGCTGATTGTCACCTACATCTGTTCAGTCACGAGGGACAGCCAGCCCGTGACATTCTGTTCCTGTCCAGCCCTCCTTCCTGTGTTATGGGGACTCCTATGCAGGGAGCTGATCCCCATGTGCTCACACCAGGCACTTTGTATGAGAGAGAGGATGCAGCCTGAGATGGCCTCACCTGTCCTCTGGCAGTGACTTTGCATGATCGTGTGGGCTCCCACGGCTGGGATGTGCCAGTTCTGCCCTGCCCAGGTGGGGGTTCATTCAGGTGGCCACCCTGAACCCCTTGGACCTATCCCTGTAAACCCAGCAGCTCCCTGGCCTTCCAATTGTACCTGCTCACCTGTACTTTCTGCCCCAGGTCTGGTTTCAGTCTTTCTTCTAAGGAGCTAGCTGTTTCCAGACCACCTTCTGGGTGCTCACTATGTCTAGGGAGGAAGCACTGGGCTGTATTCCTTTAGGGTGACGCCATTGAGGGACAGTGGTGATGGGCCATGGGCCAGTCTGCCTGTGTGCAGGTGTCCCCACTGTAACCGTCCCTTTGATTTGTCTCTGGTGCTCTGAACAGTGGAGCTGTACAACACTGCTGTGTAATTACTGGAAAAAGCCTAATTGCTGAGGGTTCCTTCCATCCTCAGGGTATCCGAAATCAGAAAGTACTGTTAGAGTCACTTGGCAGAGTTTCCCTCTGTGGGGCTATGCCACCAACTGGGTGTATGGTGCCATTGGTTGGTGTCATTTTACTTCCGGATGTTAAGAAATTGCTTTAGTTTTGTTTTTTTTTTGTTAGGTAAGTGTTTACAGATTTCCAAGGCATGTGGGTGTGGCAGGCTGTAGCCAAAGAGGATCAGTGTATTCCTGCATCTCATCATCTCTCCTTGCTGTTGGTAGGTTTTATTTTTAAGGCTTATACATTCACTTTTGAGACCTATAAACAAGTATGTATATGTTTGTGTTTCTTTTTTTTTGGATAAATGGTAGTTTACTTTTCTTCACCTTGCCTTTTTACCGTAATATGTTATGGTGATCATTGTGTGGCATAAAATAAAAACCTTTCATTGGTTACTTTTCTGTTGTTTGTTTGAGATGAGGTCTCACTGTGTTGCCTAGGTTGGCCTCAGACTTGGGTCCAGAGAGCCTCTTGCTTTAGCCTTCCTAGTAGCTGGAACTACTGCAGCCCTCCCCTTCTTTTTAGTCTTTTTTGTTTGGTTTTGTGGTATTAGGGATTGAACCTAGGGCCTTCACATTGATCTATATTCCCATCCTTTTGTATTTTTTGATTTCGAGACAGGGTCTAAGTTGCCAAGACTGCCTCATCCTCCTAAGGTGTGCCCTACTGTTCCTGGCTCCCCCCTCCTTCCCCTGCCATGTCACTCAGCTATGTGGCAGTGCCATAGTTTATTCATTAGTCTCTTGTGGATGGATATTTGTGATTTTTTTCCCCAGTCTTAGGCTACTAATCAGAATTTACTGTGTGTACAAGTGTGTATATGTGAGTGTTTTCAGCATATCTCTGGGAAAGCTTTCTCTAGGGGACTGCTGAGTTCCATGTAGACACACATGACCTTTGCTAAGTATGACTGTATCCCCTTTCCATAAGGGTTGTCCCATTTTATATTCTCCCCAGGAATGTACTATGGTGGCAGTTTCCCCTAGCTTTGCCAACACAGTATGTTGTCCAACTTCTATGTTTTTACCAGCCTGGTGCAGCAGAAATGGTTTCTAGTGTTGTTAGTTTGCATTTCCCTATGTGCAGGGTTGAGCATCTTTAGGAGCCATTTATATTTCTTTAAATGGGTATTGCTGAGTATCTATTCTATTCTGTTTTTAAATCTTTTTTTTTTTTCTTTTTGGTGCTAGGCATGGAACCTGGGCCTCATGCACACTAGCAAATCCCCTACAATTGAGGTATATACTGAACCCAAAATCATCAGCTGTCACCAGCCTTTTCAAATTATTCCTTGTATATTTAAGATACTTGCTTATGTGGTGTATAAGTTTCAAATATGTTTCTAGCTTTTGACAGGCAAAAATTGAAAGGTTTTTTTTTTTTTTTTTAAAGCTCTTAGTAACCTAATGTATCAGCCTTTTCAGTTCCTGTCTCTGGATTTTGAGTCACAATTAGAAATGATTCCCCTGTCTTCCTTGGCCTGAACAAATCCACCTGTGTTTTCTGCTAGTCCTTGCATGTGAAAAATAGAGTCAACTGCAGCTTTTATAAAGCTTCCCAGTTCTACCAGTGAGCGAGTGGTTTGATGAGTCCACCTTTTCCGCCCTGATTTAGATGGCTGCCTTTGATGTACATGGAATTTCCTTTTTCCCTGGGTGTGTCTGGATTTTCTGTGTTGTGCCTTCTGTTCCCTTGCCTGTTCATGTGCCAGTCCCTGCCTGCTTTACGCCGAATGCATTTGCTGTTGGCTGCAGTGTTGGGATGGAAGGGAAGTGATGGGCATGTTTAGGGTACCCTTTCCCCAGGAACACGCTGTCTACACTGCATGGCATCATGCTTAGTAAGCCAACCTTCCTGATGGGCATGCTCCTTGTAACTGGCACAAATACAGGCAAATTGGGAGGTCATTTGTAAGGTCTCTTACACATTGCTGCATATCCATAGGGTACTGATTCAGTGCAGTAATCACCAGAATCATTCCATGGCTTCAGAGATCGGCAGTTCAAACACATGACTGGTGAATGTGAATGTGCTGTTAGCATCAAAGCTGTATTCATTGTCTGCTGCCTTTCTCCCCGAATATAACTCTTGACCACTCCTGTGTCATGGGAAATTCACTTTTTGCAAACAAATTTTCATAGTACATTTGCTTATGGCAGCTTTAACTGTATCCCTGGATGTTGGTTCGTAAGGAAGACAGAGGATTCAGGTGCTCTTCAGCCCAGATGTTCCTCCTTTAGCTCAGCTAAGGGGCTGGACTGAAACTTAGAGGGGCCAAGCTGGAGAGGATGGTTTTTAGCAGTGCCCATTACCAACCTGTTGCATTCTCACACTGACAACTCTGGGGCTTCTCTTGCAAGCTGGAGATGAGAGACCCCATCACCCCCTCCCTAGCATGGAAGCAGGTGGGGGTGTTGGTAGTACACCCCTTCTTCCTCAGGGGTCTGCAGGCCCTGCTGTGGCCTGGCCTGACCTCCCCATTAGCCAGTTACGGCTCTGCTCTTTTATTCTGTGGAAGCCTTTGTTCTTGGCCTCTGGTTTCTGTCCTTTTATGTCAGGAATGTGAATCAGCCTCTGCACTGCGCAGCTAGCTCCCTGGTGGACTGTCCAGCCGGAAGTAGGTGACTGTGGTGATGCTGTCTGAATACAGGACAGGACTGGACAGTACGGCAGGGCCTGTGTGCCATGGGCTTGTGCCACATAGAGCAGGTGGTATGACTGGAAGTTCAGCAGGATGCCCAGGATTGCTCTGTGCCCATCCCTGCACTGGGTCACACCCTCCTGTTGCCTGGGTGAAGGCTGTGTAATGGCGCAGGTCTCTACATGCCATTCCTTTCTCCCTTGGCTCTCTTCGCTGGCTATGTCTAGAGCGTGAAGAATTGAAGACAACGCTAACCTGACTTCCTGCTCCTGGATCAGCCTTCATTTCAGACTCCCGATGCGTCCATAGCTCTGCACACACCATTTCTTGCCTGGGGAATCTGTGTTGAATGCCTGGCTGTTACGCTCTGCTGTGGCCTGGATGAGTGTCCTCCAAGGGCTGTGTGACAGAGGCTTGGTCCCCAGGCTGGTACTGTTGTGAGCCCTTGTGGAAGGTCCGTAGGTCATTAGGCCTAAGGGAACTATGGGATCTGAGCCTCCTCCTCCTCCTACCTGACTGCATCCTGGCCCCTGACTGTGGCATCTACTCGGCCACCTGCTCCTGCCACTGTTTCTGCTGTGATCGCTGCCTCCGTAGAGGACCAGAGCCATGTGGGCACTATTGACTGAGCTACCAAACCATGGCTTAAAATAAGCATTTCTCTTTGTTAGTTAATCGCCGAAGGTATTTTGTTATCAGGGTGGGAAGCAGTTTAGCACACTACTGATGGATCCACTCACAGTTTAATTAAATCTGCTCTGTTAATGTGAAATGCTGGTGGACATGATGCTCTCTGCCTTCATGTTGCCCCAGCTCTGGGGCAGAAGGAAATGCCCATTATTTACCTTCACCTTTTAGATCTTAATCTTCTCAGTATGTTTTTTCTGTATTTCCTGTAGAAATGGTCTCTCTTGCCCAACCTTATCTTCTGCTTGGGCTTTTGTATGCTCACAGAATATCTGTCCCCGTTAGGGAAGAACTCTGCCATCTCCTGAGGAAGATGAGAACCCTAGTATCACCCCTTCTTGAAGTCTCTGGCCTCCATTCTGAGGCCTCAGCACCGCCTTCTCACCAGCCTCCCATCCATATGCCTTGTTGTGATTTGGCCCCAGCCCAGGACTGTGAGCCCCCAAGCTGACTGCCCTGCGGAGGCCTTTGACCCTTCTCCAGTCCATTCCCAGGCTGAGTTGTGAGGCCCCCGGCTCATCTACAGCAGCAGAAACAGCACCTAACCACTTAGAGTCATGGGTGTTTTCAAAGCTGTTTTATGTCACCGCCCTTGAAAACAAGTTAAAATGGCTTAGCTCCTCTTGGCAAACCTATTTGTTGTAGTAAACCTCAGAATTAGTGCCTTGTATACAAGATAGACAATCTTTCATTTAATGAGGAAGTGATTGTTGACAAAACTTCTCTGCAATCTATCATGAATTGCAAAATTAGTTCTACCTCTGTACTACAGAGTTTGTAGATTGTTAGAGAGTATATGCATGCTCTATAAAAAGGAGCAGAACCAGCTGTCAGAAATGAGACTTCTGCTCTGAGCTGGCCAGGGCCCTGATAGGACATTTAGTGGGGAGCCTGGCACATAGTAGGTGCTCAGCAAATATATATGGAGTGACATGCAGAGCAGAGGGGCAAGGCGAGTGGTCTGGGGGAAACTTTGAAAAGTAGCTTTTTCCTACAGGAGGACATGTGCTTTGTAAATGTGCACACAAGTGAATAGGAAGCATTTTTTTTTAACCTCATGTTTGATTGGAAAAATATGTATAGTAGATATGATCACTTCTGAGACACGATTGTGTTCCCCAGAACCAAGTCCTGTAGGGTTCCTGACATGTGCAGTGAATTCTGTTAGCTTTCCTTTCTTGAAACAAAGCTGCAGGAAGTCAAGAGAGTGCTCTCTGAAGACCTGCCTGACTCTGCCCTCTTGCTTTTCAGGCATGTTTGCCACTGTGGCCGGGATATCCCAGCGGGCTCCTGTGCACTGGTCGGAGAACGTGATCGGGGCGGCTGTGTGCTTCCCGTACGTCATCGCGCTCGACAATGAGTTCATCACAGTGCACAGCATGCTGGACCAGCAGCAGAAGCAGACCCTGCCCTTTAAGGAAGGCCACATCCTGCAGGACTTCGAAGGTACTGCTGAAATCACGAGATTTGCTTCCCAAGCAAGTGTTTCCTCAGGAAGTACTATCAGGCCCCATGGGGAGCAGAGGGCACACAGGGACAGGGCAGGCTCTGTGTGTCCAGTCTGGCACTGCAGCACAAGTGATAGCAGCCTCGGAGTTGGGTGCAGGGGATGGGAGCATTGGGAGAGCAGGGCTGAAGTGCTCCTGGGAGACTTGGGGGCCCCTGGAGGAGCTGGCATCTGAGCCAGAGCTTTAAGGAGGTGCAGCAGTCAGCCAGGCAGCTGTGCTGTGAAGAACCCTCTGATAGAGGAAAAGGATGTGTGGATCCATACATGAGGGTCTGCTCAAGGCGACCACGGGCAATGGAGGGTAGAGAGGCATCGTCTTCTGTGTGATGTGTGCCAGTTGAAGGAGTTGCTTCACTTGCTTATTTTTGGGGGGGGGAAGGGAAGTGATGAGACAGGGTCTCACTATGTAGCCCAGAGTGGCTGTGGCCGTGAACTCACAGCAATCCTCCCGTCTCAGCCTCCTGAGTGCTGGGATTACAGACCTGCGCCACCTTGCCCAGCTCTTTTGTCAGTTTTATTTTGAACATTTTCAGACATATAGAAACATCTCAGCTGCTGGGAATTTAAATTGAATGGGAAACACAGTCCCCACTGGAAGTATGTCTAGTTCTGCCGGGGAGCTGAGGTGTGATTGGCGTCTGTATTCACTCACTCAGTGTCCTCGGGCTGGTTCCAGGGCCCCTCAGTGCCACCACCCGCAGACTCTCAGGTCCCTTACACAGCAGGGAGAGCCTCACCACATCCTCCTGCGCACTTTCCATCATCTCTAGTGGCTTGTGAGGCCTATTGCAAGTAAATGCCGTGTAAGTAGTTGTTCTTTTCATTGATTAAGGAAAATGACAAGACAAAATCTGAATGTGTTCAGTACGGACACAGGTCTTCTGCCCTTTTTTGTGATTCTGGGGATTGATCCCAGGACAACTGCACTGAGCTACAGATGCTGCCTTTTTTCCCACATATTTCCGATTTTCATGCAGTTGGATGAGGAACCCGCGGACGCAGGGGCCGACTACATAACGGTGTTGCTGGCTGTGTGGGAGGAGCAGTGAGGGATGAAATCAGGAGTCAGGGATGTGAAGAAGGTGACGTCAAGCAGAGAGGGACAGAGTCTGGGGAGGGATGAGAAAGACTGCCCTCCCTGGCTGGGCCACAGAAGACAGAAGCTGCAGGGGACCCGCTGCTTCCTGGAAACAGGAGTTGCTGAGCTGGGGGCTTCCAGAGGAGAAGCTGAGTTAATCTGAAGCTTGGGAACAGGAGCTGGTCTGGGACCCCAGTCCTGACTCAACTTGAGCTGCCTGTGGGCTGTCTGAGGTCCACAGGGTGTGACCCTGGGAGGGGGAGCTGGCTGGACCATGGGTGAGGAGCAGGTGAGTGGAGAGATGTGGGAGGAGAGTGAGGGTGAAACCCTCTGGTCAGAATGCTGCGCTGTAGTCAGTCTAGCTTGGAAGGAAATGAAGCTTCACTAGATCGTGTGTGAAACACAGCATAATTCTTCCTGCCCACTCCCCTGTGAAATGTCCCTGGCCTCTTACTCTGCACCTGCCCTGACTCACAGCATTCCTGATGGAAAAGGCAGAGCAGCCAACCCTGTTGTTTGGCAGGGTAGTATTAAGGGTTTACCGCCTTTCCTTTCCTACAGTTGTTGGCGTGGGCAGAAGAAAAGGAGAGCATTAGAATGTGTAATTCCTGTAGGAATTCTGTGGGGAAACTGGTGCAGTTGATTAAAACTCAGATAATGATCCAGGCAGGGGAAGCAGTGTGTTTTCTTGCAGGCAGTGTTCCTTCCCTTTCCAACAGTGTTAAATTCCTTCCCAGGAAGAGTGATCGTTGCCACAAGTAAAGGAGTCTACATCTTGGTCCCATTACCTCTGGAAAAACAAATACAGGATCTGCTGGCAAGCCACAGAGTGGAGGAGGCTTTGGTCTTGGCGAAAGGAGCCCGGAGGAACATTCCAAGGGAAAAATTTCAGGTTGGTAATGAACTGCTCACCAGAAAGCATGCTTATAAGCCACCAGGTAGAAAACACATGGGCTCAGCCCCCAGGTGTGGACCCCCCTCCTCTGCTCTGCATCAGAACGTGCACAGGGCTCTGGTGTTGTGCACTCTACTCCTTAATTTCCTCAGCACACCACATTTTATAGGTAAGAAAGTGTGCAGGGCAGTCACATGGCTCCATGGAGCTTCTGACCATGGTCTAGTTCCAGTACTTGGTACATGGGCTGTATTTCTAATTGCTTTCTTCTTCAGTAGACTTTCCGAGAAGAATCAAGAACATGGTTCTTATAAGCCAGAAGAGGGAAGCCAGGTTAATTGGGCTCTAGTTTTAGAATCTGCATCTGTTAGGAGAGGGTTGGATTCAAGTTTAGCTTTCTGTCACCTGTGGGAAAAGTGCCACTAACTGTATTGAGAGTCCTCCTGCTTGGAGAAACATCTGGTTGATTCCTTTAGGAGGAAACATTTCATGCACTCAGAGTTTGTAACTCTAAACACAGTTGGTATAATCAGGGTAATCGATATAAATCAAGTTCCCTGAAATTTGTGATCAGGTGGCTGATGATCGGCTGTTGGGCATCCTGGCTCCTCTGCTCCCTGGAGAGTAACAAACAGGATGCTGACATGTGCAGTGCTCTTCTGGGACCCTATGGATCAGGGAGTGTTCTCGGTCACAAATAATGTCCATCAGGTTTTAGGCAGCACTGTGCTGTGGCTGCAGTTGGTGCCCATATGAGGAGTACCATGTGAAGATTGCAGAGAGGCCCATCCTTTGGTCCTTCCAGTGATGTGACGGATCAGGAGATTGTCTTTCTTCAGTTTCCCCTTTGTCTATTGCTTCTGGTTAGGTGAGTTCCATTTGCATTCAGCAGGGGGCAGCAGAAGCAAAAAGAAGAAAGCTGTTGTCAGGGTCCTGTGCTGGGCTCTTTACCTCATTTCCCTTCTACCTCCTGCATGGCCATGGCCGTGGCTGTGGCTGCGGCTGTGGCTGCGGCTGCAGCTGTGTCTGCGTCTGCGTGAATGGGCCAGGAGCAGGTGCAAAGCCGGTCTCCAGTCTGCTCCTTCTCGGCTCCTCTGTCTTCCTGTGCGGGGCCGTCTGTACAATGTTAAGGTTTGGAGGGGCTGTGCCAGCCACTCACAGTTGGGGAGGTCTCCACCTGGTACACATGCACATGCACACTTGCAGTGTGACATTTTCTTATAGAGGCTTTCAGTGTTCTATATCTGATTTCTTTTCCTACTCTGCCAAGAGCGGAGATTCACGGTCAGTACCTGATAAAATCATGAGTCACCTGTTCTCTAGTCTGGGATCTCAGGGTTCCTTTTCTTTCCCCACCTGTCCCTGCCTTCCCCTTGCATTGCTGCAGACTCGAGTCCAGCCCAGAGAGATAGCTGTAGGGTTTTGTGGGCTCCGGGCTTTGTTCTCAGTGCTGTCGTTAAGCGGTGGGTGTGTGGAGCCAGCTCTTTCCTGAGTCACCGAACAGCTTCCACTGCCTCACCCCAGACAGCCACCCTGGGCCCCTCCGCATACCACGGCCCCAGCACATCCTCCAAGGGTGCTGTGGTCCAGCCCACCACCTCCCTGGCCTGGCTGCTCCAGATGCTCCTGTAGCGTGTGCTCAGGCCTGCAAACCACCTCCAAGGTGGCCACAGAGGCAGGTGGTGGGCTGGTCAGGCGTCAACTGCTCTGTGCAGAATCTGTAAATTTAAGATTATACCTAAAAACCGTCTCTTTTCATCCTCAAAAGAATTTAGTAGTAAGCAGTAACTGATGCCACTGCCCTTACTTTACAGAAGGGCTATGCAGGGCACAGTCAAATCCTCGTCCATGGAGATGAGCGAGGTAAAGGAGTACTTTCTCCTTGCCTTCAGTAGATGGGGCCCAGCAGCCATGAGGGGCAGATTGCTGCTCCCAGTTCTCCTGGAGAAGCTGGGTGTGATGTGTCCTCCTGCAGTGGAGGGGTCCTTTTTGTCCTCTCCGCTATGGGGAGGGCCTCTGTCATCTCCACCCTCAGAAATGGAACTAGCACCCTGGCAACAACTTGGGCCTACTTGGGCCCACTGTCTTCTTTTTTTTTGGTAAGGGGGATTGAACTTGGGACCTTGTGCTTGCGAGGCAGGTGGTGGAACCACTGAGCTAAATCCCCAGCCCTGGGCCCACTGCCTTCTGCTTCTTGTTGGGTGAGGTAATTAATTGGACCAGATGTTAGGTCTGAGGTGGCTGGTGGGGGAAAAGGGAAATAAAGGCTTCAGCCATGTGCTGTTTCTGATATCTTCCCATTGGGGCCCAGGAACAAACCGCAGCTGTGCTTCTGAGAACGCGCATGCCCTGCTTGCATGAGGGCCTGGGTCAGTGCTCACCACTGAAAATAAATCAAAACAGTTGCAAGGGTACTGAACGTGTACAGATTTTTTTCTCATTATTATTCTCGAAACATGGTATAACGACTATCTCCATAGTACTGATACCACACTGGGTATTATACGAGATGTAAAGATAATGTAAAGAAGATTGCACGGGTTCTATGGAAACATGATGCAATTTTAGAAAGGACTTGAACACTGTCAGAGGCTGGTATCTGTGCAGTCCTGAAACTAGTGACCCCTGTCACCGAGGAAGGGACCACTGTGATAAATTTCATATGCACCTGATTCTTTCTTTAAGTTATAACTTCACATGTCTGTGTGGATTAGAAATTCTGTTTCCCCATCTGATGGTTCAAGGTGTTTCAGGGATATGAACTCTGTCTCTGCTTGCAGGTGATGTACAGAAGGATTCTGCAGCAGGCTGGCTTCATCCAGTTTGCTCAGCTTCAGTTCCTGGAAGCTAAAGAGCTCTTCAGGTAATTGGAGGTGCTGCATCTACTACTGAGTGTCCCCTGCACTAGGGACCTGTGCTGCCCACCCCAGCCCTGGCATAGGGGCAGGTTAGCAGTTTCAATACATTCTTTGCCATATAGATCTCAGCTCTTTCCTGCCATGTCTTGTTATCCCAGCAATGTCAGAGACCCCCTTATTCACATCCTGGGTGTCTCCTGATGCCCCTCTTTTTCATGGATGCTATAGGTGCGTTCTTAGGGAAGTGTCCTCATCTGGCCAGAGTGCAAGCCAGGCCTGTCTTGCTGGAACAGAGCTCCCCCTGCACCTCCCTGTTAGCATCTTAGCTTAGCTTTAGGGCTCATGAAGTCCCTTCTTTCAAGACTATTCAGTGGTCTGTGTGCAGTTTAGTGTCCAGAAAGTGTTGGCAAAATGTTGGCTTCGGGAACCACTGGCTTCAGCTTGAGCAATAGCACACACTCAGGTCTTCCCAGCAGCACAGGTGTCTTGAGGTTCCACTTGCCTCTCACTGTCGCCCCTGTACTTTCTAAGAACCAGGGTGGCTCCTGATTTGGTAGTGCTCCTGTGTACTTACAAATTAGGATGGTTTTTCTACATGCCTGTTACCTACCCTATGCTATAATGTGCCCACCCACAGCCCTGCCCTGCCTGGCCCTCTGCATGCCCCTCATCTGGCTTGATGCTGTCATTGCAGAAGCGGGCACCTTGATGTCCGGGAACTGATCTCCCTGCACCCCTTCCTGCTGCCCACCTCCTCCTCCTTCACCCGCTGTCACCCTCCACTCCATGAGTATGCAGACCTGAACCAGCTGACGCAGGGCGACCAGGAGAAGATGGCCAAGTGCAAGCGCTTCCTCATGAGCTACCTGAATGAGGTCCGAAGCACTGAGGTGGCCAATGGCTACAAGGAGGACATTGACACGGCCCTACTCAAGCTGTATGCGGAGGCTGACCATGACAGCCTGCTGGACCTCCTGGTCACTGAGAACTTCTGCCTTCTGACAGACAGTGCAGCCTGGCTGGAGAAGCACAGAAAGTGAGTGTCCTCCTGCAGCATGATGGGCATCCCTCCCAGTCTGTCTGCACTCCCTTTTCTGTGCTCCCTTGGGGGGACACTGTTGGGAAGCTCCCTCAACCAACAGGGCCATGCGGTGACCACCATGAGATCCCAGTGACATCACGCAGGTCACAGTTTAAGGGGTCTTGCAGGGCATTCACTCTCATGCTCGTTCTTCACAGTGTGGAACTAGCCGTGGGCTTTGTTAATAAATGGAGATGTGTTTAGATGTCTGCTAAGGACTTGCTTGTAGAAGATGACACAGGGTTGTAAAGTAGTGCACTGAGGTCACTGACCTGAGAGAGGGTTAGATCATTGTCCAGATCAATAGATGAGAGGGGAGACTTCTCAACCTCAGTGATTCCAGGTCATAGATGGAGACTGCTGCATCATGACCAGGAGCTGGTGAGTGGCAGTAAGTGAGCAGTGGCTGGCTTGGTGTGGGCCAACAGCTCCCACCCTGGGCAGGTTGTCATGGAGCCCACTTGCTAGGCCTCAGGTTTCTTTTAAAAAACAAGGACTGTCAGGTGGGCCCTTGATTCCATGTAAACAATACGGTTTTTTGTATATGATTTTTGTTAAGAATTTGAAATAGCAATACTGACAGAATCCCCACAGAGACTGTGGGTCACAGTGCTAGATCAAATTCAGTGCCTGAGATTACATGGGCTTCCACCACTTCCCATCAGCACTTGAATGTGCTGTGGGGTGACTTCACAGGGTGAGTGTCACAGGGTGACTGTCTAAAATTGTGGGACCAGAAGTGTTTCACATGAAGTTTTCAGATTTTGGGTTTGTCTTAGTTACTTTTTCATTATTGAGACAAAATACCCAACACCAAAAGTTAAAGGAGGAAAGGTTTATTTCAGCTCAATTTGTAGAAGTTTCAGTCCATAGGTGGCTAGCTCCAAGGCAGGGTGGCGTGGCAGAGAGGCATCACAGAGGAGAAACAGTCCATTACAAGGTAGGCAGGAGGCAGCAAAGCAGTGAAGTAGTGGAGCAGCAGATGATAAGCAGCAACCCTCTTTGTATCCCTTATATTCTAACTAGGCTACCGCCTTTAGGGCAAGTAACATTCACACCCAGGGTGGGCCTTCCCATTATCCACACTATGTCAAACCAATCAGTGGTCTAATTTAGTACCACACACCCTTGATCTCAGTATCACACACCCTAGATCCAGCCACCTCTGAAAAGCTCCCCCATGACTGCATGAGGCTTTGGGACATAGGAACAAGCCATAACAGGGTTGTTTATGTGGACTTTACTGGTTGAATATCACTAATCCGAAAATCTAGAATCTAAAATGCTTCAAAATCTGATATGCTCCCAAATCTGAAACTTCTTGAGGGTCATGATGGTCCTTAAAAAGTTTCAGATCTTAGAGTATCTTGGAGTATCTTGGCTCTCAGATTCTCAGGTTAGGGATGCTTGATCTGTGTTCTGTTTAGGACCCAGAACATACGCTGACACTGTGTGGTGAGGTCGTGGGAGAGAGGGTCTACAGGCAGCACGACTTTCCCTCACCTGATTCTTCAGTGTCTTGAGAGCTTGCCATTTGAGAGATAGAATCTGACTTCTCCCTAGGTGAGCTGACCTCGTTCCTGCCACGCAGGAGGAGGCCAGGAGCCTGGCACACCTGCTGAAGGGTGGGGAGGGATACTGCCCAGGCAGTGCCATGGCAACTGCTGTCCTTTCCATTTACAAGTGGGGACATGGGAGGCAGGGAAGTTAACCTGCCTGCCCCAGGCCCCACAGTTCATTGGTCATAAAGCCTGAGTGGAAAGGCAGGCCCTTGAGCTCCTGGCTCCCCCAGCAGCCCCGAATTGCATTGTGTGCAGTGCCCGGATGCTGTGGGCGCCTGCTACTGTGGTCCAGTAAGGATGCCTCAGCCCTCCATCAGGCAGGAGCAGACAGCATGTCTGTGCCACTCTCAGGACCTTGGGATGGGCCACTACTGAAGAGAGAGGAAATTATATTAGTACTTGAAGCAAATTGTAAAGCACTTCCCAATATGATTTTCCAAGTACTAACATTACAGCTTTCTTTTTTGGCTCATCTTTGGCTGGAGTCAGATACTTTCTGGAGATCGATAGAGCATGTATTTCTAATACCATAAACGAAATGAATAGACCTGAGGTGCTTTGGTCATGTGAAATTACCTAATGACTGAGTCAGGAGAAGCCAGGACTCTGGGACCGGGGCTGTGGCGCAAGTTTACTCTGTGGTAAGCAGGGCTTGTGCTCACCACCTTGTCTCTTCCAGGTATTTTGCACTGGGGCTGCTCTACCACTACAATAAGCAAGATGCTGCTGCAGTTCAGGTGAGCTTAAAGGCATTTTAGCATCATTTGACAGTCAGTACCATTTAATTTAGTATTACTTTAAAGAGAGCATGTTTGCCTGATCCATAACCTTGATTATATAGAACAAAAATAATACTGTTTTAGGAAGTAAATCCTTTTGAGAATTATTGCCCAAGAGTCTTCTTTTCTTTATCTTTACATCTCTTTAAAGAACATTATCAAAATTTAGCTTTTGAAAATTGAAGAAATTTTAAAAGTATTAAAGATTTCTTTTTTAATAAATGTTAGCTGACACATAATTGTGCACATTTATGGGGCATGGTGTGATAATTCAGTGCATGCATACAGTGTGGAATGAACAAATCAGGGTAATTAGCATTGCTATCTCCTTAAATTTGTCATTTCTTTGTGTTGGGAACCTTCAAACTCCTCTGTTTTAGTTCTTTCTAAAGTATGTTATAAATTATTGTGCTGAGCTGAGAACACTAGGGTGTATTTCTCCTACCTAACTGTATATTGGTAGGTGTTATCTAACTGCCCTCTGGCCCCCCACCCTTCCCAGGATCTAATAATAACCACTATTCACTTTACTTTCATGAAACCAACTTGAAAATATGACTTCTTTTGGGGTTACTGGGGATTGAGCTCAGGACCTTGCACTTGCGAGGCAGATGCAGGCACCACTGAGCTAAATCCCCAGCCCAAAAATATGACTTCTTACTGAGCAGCAAAGCATACAACATCACTACTTATCAGAAAATAAGGGCAGCTGAGTTTATAGTTTTCACTGTCAGTGATGATAATGGTTGGAAGGAGCTGAGTCATGACTGTCCCCACATCATGGTGATTAGATTGGGCAGGGCCAGGTGTGGTTAGTGTAGAGCCAGTGCTCCTGGTTGTGAGCGAGGTGCTGTGCCTGAATGGAAACTAGCATGGACTTGTTCTAGCATTCTGCAGCAGTCTGCTCACCCTGGAAAGCCATGTCTTGCATTCTCAGGGAATTTCTCCTCTGCTGGTCCCTGCTGTCCACCTGCATTGCGTTGTGTAATGCTTTCCTTGTGTGTCTTGTTTAATTTTGTGAGGGATCAAGAACATCAGCCACATTCACCAGACTAACATCAAGTCCATGACATTAGTGGAGCCAAACATGGCTCTTCCTTGTCTTCAATAGCTTTGAAGATAACAAGACATAAAAAGATTACTGAGCAGAATAAAACAAAGAATGGGTTCCCATGCACATGTACCCCTATGCAAAAGTAGATTTGCATATCACAGATTGTTTATTTATTTATTTATTTATTATTTGTAGTAGTGGGGATTGAACCCAGGGCTTCATACATGCTAGGCAAGTGCTGTACCATTGAGCTACACCCTCAGCCCTTTTTCAATTTTTATTTTGAAATGAGATCTTGCTATGTTCTCCAGGATGGCCTTGAACTTGTGATTCTTCTTGCTTCAGTCTCCTGGGTAGCTAGGATTACAGATGTGCCACTGAGCCCGGTTTACATTTTTTATTTATTTATTTTTCCCCTTTAAGTTTATTGGTACATTTTAGGTATAAAATAGAGTTACATTCATCATTGGGATCTTGTACCTTTACATGAGTATCTTGGTTCTTATTTTTTTCCCCTTCCCCTGCCCTCCCTTCACCCCCTCCACGCTTCCCTATTTAAAAAGACGTTGTTTCCATTTTTTTCCTTTTCTCATATTTTTTCTTTTCCCTTCTTTCCTTTCCCCTACCCTTCTCACTTCCCCTACCGCTTCAGACCTTTTCCTATTATACAATATCAATTATACATTTTAAAAATTATAATATCAAGATCTAGAAGACATTACCACAGATTTTACAGAATTTAAAAGGATGTAGAAAGCATATTAGAAAAATCTTTTTTGAAATAAATTTGACAACTTCTAAGAAGTACCTTGGAAGACAAATTAATGAAACTAACTCTGGAGGAAATACAAAATTTGAATAGT